CAAAGAACCCAACCCTGATCAGACAAATAATTATTCACTACCATAATATCAACATGTCCTCCATCAGTTTTCAATCGATTTTCTACATTAATTACAACAAAAACGAGAAACCCGAGCTTAACACCGGCGCCACATTGCTAGCTGGTTAATTGTAAATTGTTAGCTTCATGGCTGCTTCACCACTTTCTATGCGCGGTTAAATTGCTTGTGGCTGGTTAAGACACTCCGGGAAAACTAGATTCCATGTCTGAGCGTGGGAGACCATGGTTTTTGCACAAGTGTAGGTTCTTAGTGTAATTTACATTTGTAATACAGTTATCGAATTCTGGCAGATGATTTTTATAATCTTCATCAAAATAGCAATAAGGTTATTATGAGGAGCTCAATTACGCAGATAGTTAGCATATTCGGCCTGCGATCGTGAAAGTTAAGACCTTTCACAATAGTCGGTCCAAAATGGGTAGCAAAAATCGTATTATCTCGAGCTTCTCTGTCCTTCGGAAGGTCGTTAGCCGTTGGTCCCAGCTGCATCTGCAGTCGTTAACACCCACCAATCCGCTCTGGGCCCGCGTGACGTGTCTCGCCCAGTCTTACTATATCATCCTAGTTTCGATCCGGGTAGGGAGATTTGTGTGGAACATTTTTTTCTCGTTTGATTTGTTCTTCACATATGGTCAATCATTTATTTTAGATCTAAATAAATAGTAGGAGTTTCCAGAATATATTAAATTTATGTTGACACAGTTCGAAGCACAATTGGATATTTAATCCTTTATATATTAAAATAATCCTCCCCTCCCAACCATAGATATTTTTTATTGGAACAACCTTTTTGTCCTTTTCGTGCCATACACAATTTTTTTAATAAAGTATTTTTTTTAAATAACAATATACTTTTCAATCGTAATTGACCCTACAACATTTCTGTAGCAACATTAACGTCTTTTTGTAAATTCTCAGCTCCTAGTCCTGCTAGATGAAAAATTTGAACTACAGTTAACATTTATAAAGTTTATACCTTCTAATATATTATGTAGATTCAGATTTTAACGAAAACCCAGACAATAGAAAAAGAATAGCTGTTAAAGTAACAAAAGGTTCACAAGACTTGTCAGGATAAAGAACTCCTGCGTAGGTGGGAGGAGGTAGTTACATTGTTTGTACTATCCAGTACCTACGAAACTGGGAATAAGTATGACTGGATGCACCAATATGCATTCCAAAGATGTATGTGATTTATACATGCGAGGGCGGTGGATAGAAAGCCTTAATCTTTACTTTGACAGATCTCTTCAAGAAATAGGTACCTTCCATTCAATGAACACCAAGTTGTACCTTGAATATCGGTAATTTATTCAAATTAGAAGCATAATGTATATCACCATCTGTCTGTCTCTTAAATAAATAAATAAAACATCTGAATGTCAACACCATTTATAAAATTTCACTTCATATATCCGAACAACTTACTCCTTTTAGATTTCCGTACCCAAAAGGTAAAACGGGAATCCTATTGCTGACACTGTGTCGTCTGACCATCTGTATATGCATATGTCACGGGTAGAGTGACAGAACTTAAATTTTGGTATTTTATTGGATCAATATTTCTGAAATACATACTGATTCAAGTCGTATTTCACTATCTCCTCCATGCCACTTCAAGCTGTTGTCTATCTTTGAAGGAAGCGCAACGGTCTAATAAATCCATAGAGCGCGCTGTCACATCTAATCCAAACGGCCATTATTTCTTGACATGTTGATACATCACTCATCGTTGGATAACAGCCGTTCATCATTGGAATTGGACACCCCTTGTTGAGGGAACTCCGTGTTTTGGTCGTATCTGATACGAATTACGAAATTAATGAAGCAAACATAACACCTTATACTATACTAGCGGCCCGCGACTTCGTCCGCGTTAACTTTACTATTTTGAGAATTCCACAGGAACCTAACATTTTCCAGGATACAAAATATCTCATAAGATATATCTTTATCCTGGTCCTGAACTATATGCTTACCAAATTTCATCCGAATCCGTTCAGTAGTTTTTGCATGATTCAGTATCTAACATACAAACTTTCACATTTCTAATATTAGAAGGATTAAAATACCCAAGATTTAGGTTCGGTCTGCTTTGTAGCCTATAACTATTGACAAAAGCATTTTAATTTGTAAAACTCAAATGTTCTGAAAGTGTTGATTCGACTCCTTTTGGTAATATAGCCTCCAGTCTCCACCTTGCAGAAAATTTCGGTCATACTGAAATACTCTTAATTTTTAAAGGACAAAGTAAAATTTGGCTATTCTCTGTTAGTGAACACAGTAAAATACGGAATTTCTTTTCCTTGTATAGGTACTCACATAGTTGTTCAATTTTGATTTTGTTCCATACTCCTTTCAGCCGGCTTCTGAGCAATCATCTTACCAAATTGTTGTAGCTTGAGCTAAAAGTTTTTCGTTTTTATGCTTCCGTGATCCTTCTTTAACCACTTCCCCATAAACATCAGCTCCCAATAACCACTTTGCCTGGCTCGTGATAACCTAGATCTGCTATTAAGATACCAATTCATGAACGGCATTTTGATTTCTTTTATATACAGTAAAATCTTAGGGATTACTTCAGTTCTCAATGCCCTTGTTATTGACATCGCTTCTTGTTGTCAGTATTTACATAAGAAAACCGACAAACGGACAGTGGTTCTACTGTATCCTGCGGTGTAACCTATCCGTGCACCTGCGCATCCCGTGGGAATGATATCGGATGATCTCGGTTCCGCACGAATTTGATACAGCGGCGAAGGTCGCCTCTTGTGATCGAGTGTTAAGTACCTATACCTAAATGATAGAAGTGTTTTATTCTCTCGTATAGGTAGTACTTAAGTGATTGATTTTGATTATGTTCCATTATTCTGAAAAGTTTTATATTTTTACTGAAAAGTATAAAATTAAAGTTGGACACTAGAAAAGATCCCCTAACAACAACGTAGCTTGCAAAATTAAGTTCTTAGAAGTGCTCGAGCGTGCTTTCTAAAGTGTATCTTATCTTAAATAAATACGAATTAAAAATTCTGAATAAAATTTTCCTCTTCAGTACGCTGAGATACATCAGTGTGACTTCCTGCCATTCTACTTGCTTCCTAAGAATTTTCTGGCAAAAACTGACTTCTAAGCATGAGATCCCGAGGTTTCATAATACCAAATGTGGGAATCATCTGCCATTTAACTGATGGGTAAAAGATAATGTGAAACGACTAGACTATTGATGGATAATACGCCGATAATTGAAATTGCGCGGGAAAAGTCAGGAGAGCATTTAGTAATAAAACAAAAAATCTCTTGTTTATGACCGTGTAACTCACGAGCGATGTCGCATGACCTTAACTCGTTCCGGCTCAGCTCACGACTGAATTTTTATTTAGATTTGACAATCTACAATGAGAATCACTAAATACAGAAATTTGAGATAAAACTTATTTTGCACAATTATTTTCGGCAATGCTGTACCACAAAGTACGTCGGAAGAGGGTACACTAAATCAGCCAAAAGTCGAAAATCATTTTTTTAAGAAAGCGTGTTTGCCCTAATAGGAGTACGAACCAACGCATTTATAGTAAGCCTCTGTCTACTATAGATGCATTACGTCTCTAGCTCGTGCAATACCAAAAATATCGCGCGCACCGTTGCCTACACTCACTCAATAGGGTATTTGACAAATTTTAGAAAACGATCTCACATTATTGACTAATGTTTATGGAGTCCGTAAAAAGTGGATATTCATCATTCTGTTGTGTATTTCAGTAAAAATAACCAAATCAAAAACTCTATTTTCAAGTTGCCGCGAAAACGTTTCTTTGGACAATATGGCGTCTTACTAATGTGTGACGTCACACGACTGTTATTAAAACGTCGAACGATACAATGTAATGTCACTTTAACCGGAAGTTTACTTGCGGGTGACGTCATTTTAGGCTCCGCCAATCCCAAGCTTTTTAAGTCACGTGACAATAGATAAGAAAACTGTTATCTTTTTTGTGGGTTTTTAGTAAAATTATGAGTATTTTTTTTTTGTAAAAATAGTAAAATCCCCTGCCAATATTCATTCTAAACACAGATGCTAACAATTGGCACTTTATTTTTAATACTGTCAAATACCCTATTCAACCACGGGACTCCACGGGACAAAAAGAAACACAACACCAGCAAAAGGCAGTGTTTTTTAATGTGATCTTTGTAAGGTGTAGATTACTTACGAGGCGATCCCATTCGAGCAGTAAATCCGCCATGCCTTAAAAATATTTCATGAAGAAAGAAGACCGATGATCAGTCAAAAATCTGAGCTGTTCAAAATATCCAATAAAACTAAACGGAAAATAATAATATGAGACCCTAAACTTCACTACATTTGCCTATAGTTATTTTATTTGTTTGCAATTTTTTCCTATGTTTTTGTTGTTTATGAGCACAAAAAATGTTTTATAAGCATGTATGTAAGTACCTACGCATGTGTAAAAAATGTGTGATTTTTTTATTCGTTATGTTGCTGAGAATTTGTTATTGATTGTGTTACTTGTAAGATTCTGTTGAAAGCATGAGATTTGATTTTTCACTTTGTACAAATTGTGCACAAAATCCAGCCAGATCAAATCCACGCTATTTTACGAATAAACTGTAACGAATACCGAAACTTTAGCTAATTGTAAAAGCCTTCTTTGTTAATCACCACAATTTTTTTATTATTTAGTCAATAGTTAACGCAAAACCTTGTTTTACGTTACTGTTTACGATATAGTTATCGCTGTTTGGATCCTTTTCTTTTATTGGCATTACATCCCAAATAAAGGAATGCGTTTTGTTTCATATCAATATTTGAAGCCTTTTTGTTATTGCTGTTATACCTACACATCATAAGCTAAAGAATGCGTGTTGTTTTTTTTCATGATATCTTTCTCTTCGGTCTGTGGTGATAAACTTTTTAATAAGTGTATTTTATCCCTCAGACGACGAAGGAGGTCACATCAAACAGTCCGGTTACGAGTCGAGGAGACAGAATGACTTGTACATGCGGCTGGGCCTACTGCTCGGGGAGCGGAGAAGCGGCAGGAACAAGGCTCGGGACAGCTGCACCTCACTGGCGTCTCTCGATGCGCACACGCTGGCCTCTCACAATACCAGCCCGGTTGGTACTTTATTGACAGACCTATTTATTTAAGCACGCCTGGGGGCCATTCGCCTAACGGAAATGCTTTAGAAAACGCTAACGCTTACGATTTCATTTTGTTATTTCTAGCCGCCTGAGGTTTTCAAATGCCTCGCGCTCTTTTTTTCTTTTGCGTTGGTAATAACAATATTAAAAAAATGAGCATGAGGTATTTGAAAACCTTCGGCGGTCAGAAATAAGAAAATAAAATCAAAAGCGTTAGCGTTTTCCAAAGCATTTCCGTTAGGCGAATGGCCCCCCGGTTTTAGAAATGCTGTTCAGCGATAAAATTAAGTAACAAGCCAACTTATCAATGTCTCAGTTGGTAGAGCTGCCAAAATTAGTTCAAGTACTAGGTGGTAGTTTAACTGTGTATATAATAAATCATCTAATAACGGACAGAATACTGATACTAATTTTCATTATGGATTTGTCATTTGTTTTGGAATTGGATCTTGTTTACAACGACACGACGGACGTAGAGTCTATAAGTAAGATATGTTAAGATATGAATATAAAAAAAAAGATTTAATATAGGAGTTTAATTGTTGGTCTCATAGCACCACCAGAAAAAGGATCTTATGATTGTATTTCTTTCTTCAGGTGTCGACATTGACGGGCTCCTCTGAAGTTGAAGCGGCAACGCCCCTCGGCAGAGACTCCTTGGGATCCCTGGCTTCAATGTCCCTATCTGCAGCCAGCAACTGTTCCTCCTCCAGTCCCGGCAGTAGGAGGCATTCTGTCAATGGTAAATATTTTTAATTGTTACATTATTTAGGCTTTATAAAGATAGACTGCATTTAATTGGCAAATACTAGTTTGGATTCAGTAGAAATGCAAGTAAAACGCTTAAAATCGATGTGTTAACTATCGTCGTGACGATAAGATCTTTATTTTACACGAAATAGTCGTACAACAGATTTCCATAAAAAACGTTTGATAACGATATAGTATGAACTCTAAATGTTTTGTTTGTACAAATATCGTGTTGACATGATTCTGCTTTTGTGTTTTAGCTTTACAAAGCAACAGATCTGAGGAGTTAACGCGCATGTCGAGTGGTTTCTTCAAGACCAGAAAGACTGCTGCAAGAAGATCTGCTAGAGTCAACAGCAAACAATCTTCCTCATCTTCCGAAATCAAGAAAGGTATTTTTGTACCATATTCACAATTTCCAGCAACAATGAATTCCCAATAATCACAATCGGTATCTTCTTAGCCTCCAAATGGGCCTTTAATTTGGTAACCAAAACCCGAATGTTTTAAGTCACTAATTTATCTTTGAAATTACGTCTTGTAACATTATATTATTTCCAGATCCCAGTTAACTTTCATATGATAAATGCGATATGGGTGCTAGACTACTGATGCTACTTATGTTAAATGTTATGTCTTTGTTTGTAATATTTTTTATTTATTTCATCAGAACTGATATTTAAATCTTTATGTGCGAGTGGTAAGATCTCACTATCGTAGAATTTCTATTTTAACCAAGTTATTATAAAACGTAAAAGCACGCTCTATTCTGGTTTTGCTTGAGCAAACTAAATCTTTATTATATTTTATGGGACTATTCAAACAGGTACATTTTGACCAAATTGCCGACGTACCAAATTATACTCATGCGAAGTGACACAAGGCCTAGTTAAAGCTAGACATCGACCTTATCAGATTATTGTAACGGACCAAGTTAACATACCGCATAATTTTGCGTAAATTCAACTTGTTTACGCGAGTTGAGGTTGTGAAATTTTAAGCGACCTCATTTATAAGAAATGTATAGCGTCGCACAGTAAATATGATTTTGTGTGTTAAGGATAAGGACTGGTATGATAATTGGCACAAATAAAAGAATAACAATGAGCACATTAACAAACAATCTTAATCCAGCAATTATTTCAGACATAATAACAACACTTGAATTAAAGACCTATTTTTTTGCAGTGCATCCATCACCTCAACTGACTCTTCGACCGCTTTTCTTTGAAGTTCCATCGTCAGATGGTCAGAACTTATTTTCGGGACGACAGTGGCTCATGAGGGATATGGGGAAAGCTCTAGACTCCAGTTCGTCTGGTATGTAAAAAAAACTTCTATAATGATTTATTACCAACACACGATAATTTGTAAAGAAGGTATCAAAACTTACCTTGGATTTCCCACTCAGACCCAGTAAATACTTGAAAAAATCACAAAATTTTATATACTTTTTGAAAGCACATGATAGAGACTCCACTAGAAATTTCACAGAAGAGTCAAATTAATAAGGAATAAGACTCTCTCTTTTAAAATATAGTTAAAACTCTAAGGATGTTATTAAATTTTATTTTTATATGTCTAAGTTTTTAAATATCTTATTACCTTTTAGGTATCCTGATCTCAGGCTGTCCTGGCACAGGCAAAACCGCTTTAATTCTACAGTTGGTTGAGTATTCCTGCTTTGGACGGAAAAGAAATTACGAATACGAAGAACTTAGAGAGCAATCGGACATCAGGGAGCTTCTACCTGAGGAATTGACGGCTGGCATGCTCACCCATTTAGCGTCACATGTAGTCGCTTACCATTTTTGTCAAGTAAGAAAAACTATTTTTTCGATTAAATATTCTGACGGAGTTTCTGGTTTATTTAATTCTTTGTTTAGTAAAATATTGTTCTATACATTGGTTAAATTATTTGCTTGTATTTTTTATTAGTAGTAATAAATAAATTATATAAACTTCATTGCCAAACATAAGCAAACGGCGGATTTAATGCCATAGGCATTCTCTACCAGTCAACAAGTATGAGTGTTGGAAACAGTATAGTTTTTGATAACATTATTTCCTTTTTCAGGCTGACAATAACAGTACTTGTCTAGTGGGTGAATTCGTTCATTCGCTCGCCGCTCAACTCTGTCAAGCTCCCAGACTTCTAGCTTATAGGGAATATTTACTAAGTGAGCCGCATTTACTAGCATGCCTGTCTTTAAAAGAGTGCATCGCTGATCCGGACTTAGCATTCATGCGAGGAATCATAGAGCCCTTGAATATATTGAGAAAAAATGGAAGTATAGATTCTGGTAACAGCATAATATTAGTTGATGGTCTCTGCGAAGCGGAATACCATAGACCTGATCATGGATACACCATTGCGTCGTTTTTAGCAAGACATGTCCCAGAAATGCCTACGTGGCTCAAAGTAGTGGCAACTGTAAGAACGCATTTTCTGGAACTTACAAAACAGCTGCCATACTCTAGGCTTAGCTTAGATGAATCTGACAATGTCAATAAAGACTTACTGGAGTATTTCAACGCAAGAGTACAAGCTGCACCTATCATAGAAACGAACATCAAATCCTCAACTGGAAAATCAGAAGGAGTCCACAATTCTGTACTGAAGTTCGCCCAATACGTGCTACATCTTAGTCAAGGCTCATTCCTATTTCTCAAATTAATATTAGATTTACTAGAAAGAAGTCACATTGTTGTGAAATCGACGAATTACAAAGTCGTGCCCATATCCTTGGCACAGATATTCTTACTCCAGTTCAACTTGAGATTCCCAACAATACAGTCGTTCGAGAAGATCACTCACATTTTGAGTGTCTGTCTAGCTGCTCTCTATCCATTAACTTTAGTGGAAATTTACTACTCAGTGAACTCTTTATTGGTCAACACTTTTCTTCCCTGGGACGAGTTCTGTGATAGATTCGAAAGCCTTTCCGACTTCCTAGTGAAGAGGATCGACAACACATACATGTTTTTTCATCCTTCGTTTAGGGAATGGTTGATACGACGCGATGATAATGAAAGTCCGAAATTCCTATGCGATCTGAGGGCTGGCCATTGCGGTATCGCGTACAGATTATCAAGAGTACAAGCGCCTCTGGACTCTGAAAAGAGTATGGAGTTGGGCCACCATATATTGAAAGCTCATATGTACAGGAATCTCGGTCCGGCACAACTCGGTCTGTGTCCAAGGGACTTGCAAGCCATGATGGTTGCCACAAGTTCTGCTAGTGTAGGAGAAGCCATCGCTAATCTAAGAAACATATACACGCCCAACGTAAAAGTGTCCAGATTGATGCTATTAGCTGGCGGATCGCCTAATCAAATTACTGAATGTCTAGGAAACGCACCTTTGATTTGTATGTATGCGTATCAAGGAATCCTGTCCATGGTCGGACTGCTTCTTGAGTTTGGAGCTGATCTTGAAATGACGAATTCGCAAGGTTGCACATCTCTCTCTTTAGCGTGTCAAAGAGGACACACTGATGTCGCTAGAAGACTTATTGCTGCAGGTAATAATAATCAACTTCTTTTATCATCTACTACTATAACTAAAGAACTTCATTATTTGTTTGCAACTTCGAGTACAATACAATAACGTTAATTAGCTTCAAGAATAGTATTTCGAACAAATTTATCTACCAGAAATCTAGCAGAACCCGTGAGTTTCAAAAAATAAGATTTATTTTTATCTTTCTACTATAATTCTACCTAAAAAAAGGCCATATCTTAATAATTGACGAATTCGTTAAGGCTAAATCTGTATAATGACATAAATTAGATTGGTTAGAGATATGAATATTGAGATTTACACGCCGTCGTTTTAAACTATAAAAATGATTCATTGGTTTTCAGGTGCATCGTTAAGCCACACTGATACAGCCGAACAAACTCCTCTCGTACATGCGGCTAAAAATGGCCATCGTGACACAGTTATATACCTGCTAGGTTGTCAAAGTGGGAATGGCGAACGGGGTTCCTTCGACGATGGCAGCATAGAACAGCTAGTGCCGGGATCAAGACATGCTTTAGTGGCAGCAGCTCAAAATGGGCACTTGGATATCGTCGAGTATCTGTTGGATACCGCGGAACTCATAGTAAGTGCTCTGGTAATTAGTAATATAATTATTGGAATGCTATAGTAGAATCGAGAAGCCGATGCCACTATTAAGGCACACGCTCGAACGGGTAATATGTTGCGTACTGCTAAAATTGATACATTTTGTCTAATTTAAACTTTGTTTGTCTAAACTCCGAAGCTGTGAATAAGACAATTCACAGCTGCGTGATTATTCACAGGTGTCAAGAAAATGTTACTAGAAAAAATTAAGTGCTTGTTTTACCGCCAACCCAACCTAGTAAAAGAAGCACTTAATTTCACTCTTTTTATTGACTTTTTGCCGCCAGCACTAATGAGGTGTGGCTAGTAAAATTTTACAAATGGTGTTGCTAGTAACAATTAATATGTGTGTACCAAACACTGATTGATAATGGTATGAATGATCTAAACCTTGCAAAGTTCTCGTAATAACTTAAAGAGTATTCTCTTTTTTACTTTTTACCTGCAAAGTTTCCATTCCCATTCTTATTTGTTTATCATTCTTTTCAGCCCGACGGCATATGTCCAGTGACAGGTGAAACTGCTCTAACAGCAGCTTGTTCTTCTGGTAACGCCGCTATTGCTGACGCCTTACTGGTCCGAGGCGCTACTCCATATTCCTTGAACGCAAGACAAATGTCCCCATTAGCGTTGGCAGCGAAGAATGGAAGGACGGCTCTGGTTCTAAGACTGTTGGACTCGGGAGCTGACGTGATGGGAACTGATGGGAAGAACCCTCTAATTTTAGCCGCTGCAGAGGGACACGCCGATGTCGTGGAGTTGCTTTTGAATCATGGTAAGTTGTTTGATGCGCAAATTAATCTTCTCTTTTGAAATAAAAAAAAATGTTGTTGCCTACTAAGAAACTAAAATATCACAGATATTATTTGAGACAGTTAGTGCAATCTTGAGTTATAGTAATATTCGTCTTATTTTTATTCCGTGCTAAAGAAGAAAGTTCCTTTAGTTTGGAAAATGCTTCTTTTTTTAGTGATAAAGAAGAATAATAAAAATCATAAACAAAATGATAATATCTCATTAAAGAAAGGTTTAAGAACTTTGTCTGCAATAACTCATTGTCATACGCTGGCATTTATTCGAATTTGCGGGTAATAAGTACTGAAGGTTTCTGCTGATTTTGTTTCATATTGACGATACATATCAATATCAAATATACGCTATATCAAAGTTATGATGATCAAGATTTGTAATGATTTCAAATAATATGGATAATTTTGTTTTGTTTTGTTTAGGAGCTGACCCAGATGCAACCGATGCTGATGGCGTTTCGGCGCTGGGTTGGGCGAGTTTGAGGTCTAGAACTACCACTATGGTTATGTTGCTTGATAAAGGAGCCACTGTTGGTAAGTCAGTCAACGGTTGCTTATTACATATTCATATATAAGTTGTTTGTACGCCGGGTTTCATAGTGACGCCGACTCGAGAGGTCCTGGGTTCGAATCCCGGTGGGGGCAGATGTTTGTGTGATGAATATGAGCATTTGTACTTCAGTCATGGATGTTTAATATGTATTTCTATATAAACATATATGTACAGTATATGTATTCTATCCGTTACCCTAGTAACCCATAACGCAAGCCTTACAGTGCTTACTTTGGGGCTAGGCTAATTAGTGTGTTGAAATTATTTATATATTTAATTTTACATTTTGACTACGAAGGTTTTGGTCAAAACTTTAATAGGTCTGTGTTATCCCAATCTTATTTATATTTTTAAAGGAAATATAATATAAGCACCGTATTCTTTTCTTGACTATAATTTTACAACAAAAAGTTAGTAGACCATTAAACATGAGTGAGATTAGAAGAAATTTTCATACCAAAAAAAACCATTGATAAGGCGGCCCATTGTTACACTAGTTTTATTTTGGTTATGTACTAATGAGGGCTATCGCGTATGAATCCGCCGCTAGAGGCGCTAGTGTAGCGTGAGGTCTCCAAAATGTCAAATGTTATTCCTTGTTGGTTGTCTACGCGGGTTTATTTCTTATTAAAATAATGTTGTAAATAATTGGTAACAATTCGGCTTAATTATGGCAAATATGAATTATATGGCAATGAATGTCAGTTATTAAAAATTTGAGCTTTGAAAAATGATTATGTTCACATTTTTTCCGAATAAAACGGAACTGCGCGTCACTGTGGCATGGCCTATTATGTTTAGGGTATGGTTCTTTTGTGTTAAAATACGATCTAAATGTAACCTTTGATTTCATGTGCGTATTAATAAACTTTAAAAGTTACAATTTAGGACCTCACTCAACAGTGGCGCCATCTGGTGAGGCAGAAAACGGTAGCCCTCATTGTTATGTTATCTGTGGTGTACAATAAAGTGTTTTATATGCATATTTAACTTTATATTTTCCTTAGACCAACCTGACAGAAGCGGAAGAACACCCCTTGGTCTCGCATGCGGTGGACCGGCGGATTTAGTTGAGATTTTGTTAGAACGAGGAGCTTCTTTGGAGAAAGTGGACCATAGTGGTTTAAGACCCCTGGACAGGGCTATTGGACAGCGAAATGTTCACGTAAGTAAACTATTTAATACCGTCCGTGATAATTTTAGTTTTTGATGAACCTCACACCTTCTCCTGGTTAAAAAGTTATCCTATTTACTTAAATTTTGTTTCCACAATTCGAAAATGGACAAAATGCGGACTTTACGCTAAAAGCATTCTCTGCCAGTCAATCTTCAAGAATACAGAAAGATACGAATGCGGCTTTAGAAAAAAAAGTTATTAATTTATATGAACATACCATTACATCACATTACATCACTGACCTATTAATATGCCCACTGCTGGGGCACAGGCCTTCCTTATGGATACAATAGGGAGATTGGGCCATGACCCACCACCACGCGGGTCCAGTGCGGATTGGCGGGTGCTAACGACTGCATATGCAGCCGGGACCAACGGCTTAACGTGCCTTCCGAAGCACGGAGGAACTCGAGATTTTTGAAGATTTTTTTTTTGATTTTAGAAGATTTTTGGTCACCCATCCAATGACCAACCACTGGTAGGTGCTTACGACTGCAAACACATACCAAAACATACCATAGTACCATGTAATATGACATATCCTATGTTTCAATCTAGGTCATAAACTAGACTCCACTCAGAATGTGCGCTGGGTGACCGTTGCAGGATGCATATTGTCTGGATTTTAGTGGCACTGTTCAGGGCGTTAGGTAGGGCTCTGCTCATTTCATCCGGCCTAAAGGCTGGCTGAAATGAGCAGCGAGAAGTACCACATACCTTCTTGGTACCCCCCAGTGGTCAATGGATACGTAAGGCATTTCCCAGACAAAAAGATAAAGGTCATTAACTATATGCGTACCAAATTTCATCCAAATTCGTTCAGTTCGTAACACGTCCTCGCACAGGCCCTGCCAGAATACCAGCACTGATACAGTGAGAGAATATTTTCTCAATGTATCAGCATAAGCTGAGGCAGAGCCCTGATTGGCCGTCGTAGTTTTAGTGATTAATTTTTAGTAATATAAGTTATTTACGGGATTGTTACCATGTACCTTGTTTTTAGCGAGTTTCCGATATTTCGGCACTGTTGCAAGCGCCATGATCACGGAGTAACTGAAGTAATATGTCTGCCAATAACAGCCTACCCGCAATTACTTCAGTTACTCCGTGATCATGGCGCTTGCAACAGTGCCGAAATATCGGAAACTCGCTAAAAACAAGGTACATGGTAACAATCCCGTAAATAACTTATATTACTATAATGTTAGTGACCATGAAAGTTTAAAACAATATATGATTAATTTTTGTTCTTAGGTTAAGTTTCTTTTTTATATATTTTTTCTGTTCCTTTTAGTAGGTTTTAATATTGTATATAAAATGGCCAATAAAGGTTTTTCATTTCATTTCTTTACATTCATTTCAGTAGTTATTGCGTAAAAGAATAACAATCATCTTTACATACTTAAAAACTTTCGTATTTATAATATAAGTAAAAAGGAAGCTCGCGTAATCTAATAACCTAAACCCTAGTACCATTATGCAATACATGTAATGTTGCATCGTAATATTGGAGCGGGATTGGTCTGCAATATTTGAAGTTAAGCAACTTTCGCAATAACCTGCCATTTGATGGGTGACCAAAACTTTACTATCTCTAGTTCCTCCGTGCTTTAAAAGTCCTGTTAAGGCATTGGTTTCGCCTGCAACTGTGGTCATTAGCACTTACCGATGGCCTAATGTTTTTATTTCGCTCCCAGTCTGGGAGACTCCAGTACAGTAGGGTCCCTCTTTATATTCCTTCCTTTATAAAGGTTTTTGTATTTTGTGGTTGTATTTCAATTCTATGATACACGCACTATGTATTGTGTAAATATATTGGTGAAAACTTAATTTTCTTGCAGGTCGTCAACTGTTTCTTAAGAAAGGGAGCCAAGCTAGGTCCAACCACATGGGTTATGGCAGCAGGCAAACCGGAATTTATGTAAGTTTGTTTTTTTATAATAAATTTATATTTCTGTGGTTCAGCCGTAACGATATTCACCCAAGTTCTTACTAGGTACTATCGGGAAAATGGATTCCTGCCCCCCTAGCATGAGCATCGTGATATGATATATAACACGTTTTTATCACGCTCAATTGTCAAATTTCTATAGAGTTTGACAGTTAGGCGCGATATAAAACTTGATATAATGTAAATTGTGGTGCTCATGCTACGGGGGCTGATCCACTAGCACGATATAATTCTTTTGAAATTATCAAAACAGATATGTTTTCATATAAGACAATGCATTGTTGCCCTTATGACTTTTTTATGACAAATGAAAAAAATGTATATGAAGAAAACTATAAATATATAACTATATAGGTATATATATATATATATATATCTGCCCCTCTAGCATGACCACCAAAACGGGATATGATAAAGCGATATATCGACATTAACTGTCAGACTACTGTCAAACTCCATAGTAGTCTGACAGTTAATGTCGATATATCGCTTTATCATATCCCTTTTCGGTGGTCATGCTAGAGGGGCTGGACTTCATTATTCGTGCATATTTCCAGGCTGATCCTACTCAACAAGTTACTAGAAGACGGCAACATATTGTACCGCAAGAACAGGCCTTCAGAAGCGGCGCACCGCTACCAATACGCGCTTAAGAAGATCAATACCTTGATCAGCGATGAAGGCCAAACTACAACGGGCAATCAGCCGGTTCCTCATGAACATATATCGGCGTTCGTCCAACTGAAGACGCATTTATTGCTCAACTTGTCGAGGTGTAAAAGGAAACTGAACGTAAGTCTCTTCTACTTCATCATCAGCCTATTAATCTCCCCACTGCTGGGGCACAGGCCTTCCCTATGGATGGAATAGGGAGATTGGGCCGTGACCCACCACGCGGGCGCGGTGCGGATTGGCGGGTGCTAACGGCTGCGACGACGCCGTGGCCAAGTGAGGTCCCGGGTTCCAATCCTGGTGGGGGCAGATGTTTATGTGATGAATACGAGCATTTGTACTCCAGTCATGGATGTTAATATGTATTTCTATATAAATATACTTCTAAATGTATCAGTATATGTATTCCATCCATTACCCTAGTGTTGCCGACCTCTTTTATAGATTTAGTTTTTATGGTTTTTTGAAGTGTTTTTAAAGTATTGACATTTTTATGATTTTTGCTTTCAAAATTGTTATTGTGTGTCATAGTCTTTGCTTGTCATCAGCTTAAATATTGTTTGTGTTTTACTATAAAATCGTGTTAATAAACCCATTGCGTCCTAAATCCTAGCCTTCATATTTCATCCCACTAGCTCTCCGCTTCACCTAGTATCCCATAACACAAGCCTACAGTGCTTACCTTGGGGCTAGGCTAATTGGTGTGAGTGTTGGAGATATTTATTTATTTTAACGCCCGTAGTGTTACGGCCTCTTTGCTTGTGTAGTGCCTACGGCTGGGGATGAAACGATACGAGTAAATACAAGTAACTACTCGATACTTTTCTTTCGATACCAAGAACTTTTAGCATCGATACTTTAGAACTGAGTAACAAGTATCGTGAAGTAAATACTTGTATCGGTACTCGGTCGGTCACTCACTGAGAAATATCAAAAAATCTCATAAGCAGATTATTTACTCTATGGTGAGGTGTATAGTTGGAATATTCGGTTTGCGAACGCATTTTCTACTGTTCAGTTGGCAGCCTTTGCATTATTGATTTATATTTATTACAATTTATTGAGTCAGTCATTCGTAAATCGCGTGGCGTGAGCCGTTATTTTGTTTTCGTTAAATTAAAGCAGTGACTGAATTTGTAATTGAAATATCGTTTGTCAAAATTTATCGATACAAGCAAGTATCGATACTTTTCATTCGATACCGAGTAGGCATCGATACTTTATGACCGATACAGTATCGAGTAAAAGTATCGATACCTCGACGGTATCGTTTCATCCCTACCTACGGTTGGCAGTCATATTAAAAATAAATGTGTATATAAATATTAAAATGCGAGAAGCTTTTGTCTCGCATCAATGTTTCTAGATAGAATACGGGCACAGCCGCGATAGGTTGAAAATATAAAATTGTAATTTAATTCCTGAGTTGAAATAAATACAATTAAAATTCGGTGAACATTATTTTCTTTAATATAAGAGCTCCGCACCCCAAGGTCTCTCTTCTCGAGAACCTTATAGTACCCCATCAATTCATAGGCTGATGATGAGTCGAAGGAAAAACATTCATACGCCTATTTACAGCACATATTGCCGCTTTGACACGTGTCGCTAAACTGCGATTAAATTCTGCTTTTAACTGCGTGAGAATGCCTGTGAAGACACCGTCAATGTGAGCGCGGCACATATCACGTTTTGTTGTGAGCCGACTCATTGCGTGAGAGATTACGTAGTTACTTTGTAGTATAATGGTATATTTTATGTTCTTATTTAAGGCATTAAACTGTATCCTTAGTACGAGTTTGAGCTCACGAAAACTATTATAGTTTTCGTAATTGTAAATTATGTTTCTATGTCCATTTTGGTGAAAAGTAGCCAAATATACTTAAAATTTAAGAAGACGCAAATGATTTAATGATAGAATTTAAACACTTTTTATTTATATTGAAACGAATTCACGAAAACTATCATAGTTTTTGTAATTGTTAAACTCGTACTAAGGGTACTGCTATGTTTATCATTATTATTCATAATTTATCCCATTTTTAAGAACGTGTAAAGCAGGTCCGTACCTGAACTAAAATTAAACATCTCCTTTATTGGCAAAAGAAAGACATTCAGTCAAGTTTCTCCAGTCTCTCTGATATCTGGACCGAGTGGAAATTGCCTAGTAAAAATTTCTTCAGATTTATAATTTTTTTATTTTGTTGCAGGAACCTTCAGAAGCTTTAGAACTAGCCGCTCGCGCCTCCGTATTGCGGCCCAACGCTTTCGAATGCGCTTACGCCATGTCTCGAGCTATTCTAGCACTCCACAAACCTTCAGAAGCACTTCCTCACGCAAGACGGGCCCTTTTACTAGCGCCATCCACTGACTTTGCCGCTATAAGGACATTGAAGGCTCTCCAACAAGAAATACTGACGAGAATTAACGTAGGAGCACATAGTCTCAACGGCGACTCCAGATCTGTCAGAAACTATGATACTATAAGCCTTAATATGCCTTAAGTAGAGTTAAAACCCGGAATCTAATAATATTACTTGCAATCACCTATTCGTGCCATCTCCTGACCTCGATCCTATAAGAACATTGAAGGCGCTCCAACAAGAAAAATTGACCAGGATCAATCAGAAACTCTGACACAATAAGCCTTTATATGCCTTGATTGTTAAAAAAAACGAAGTGTATATCGAGCCTTTCTCGCGCCCACAAACCTGCAGAGGCACTTGTCACACAAGACAAGATCTTTTACTAGCACCTACTATTACTGACTTAACTGCTATAAGGACATTGGAAGCTCCCCAGCAAGAAATATTAACCACGATCAATATAGGAGGAGCACACAGTCTGAATAGAGATAACAGATATGTCAGAAACTTTGATACTAAAAGGCTTCACATGCCTTGATTGTTAGATAAAACTCTCCGCGGTCCTCTATACAGGTAAAGCAAGCGTCAATATGCTAATCTATAAACATCGACTTATTTGCGAAAAGGATTATATTTTTCTTCTTTGTTAATGTAAAAGTCCTACTAAACGGCTAGGCTGATTTAGTTGAAAATTTGTGTGTTTTCGATTGAGTGCCTTAGCGATTTAAATTCCCGCTAGACCCGGTGTTCCAGTATGGTTTATAGGAATTTCATGTATTTTTACTGAGCAGTATAATTTCTGTCGAATTCGCTAGTACTAATATCCAATGACGGAATCACGAAAAAGATAAAATTACGCAATTAGCGCAGCATTAGATAGTATTGCCACATCGTATAAATTTTACCCGCCTCGATTCTTAGTGTGTAATATTGTAGCAAGATGAGAAACTTTCTATACCTACGGCATATAACATTTTCGTAAAATTATACTTAAAGTTTTATAAATTGATGATATGATACCTGACAAAAAAAACAATTGATGAACTTTTTATCATTACTTAGATATCATAGCTGGATTCACATAAAATTATGTAAATATTTACATATATTCATTCTAGGTAAATAAATACAACTACGAACGAACGAGAATTTAAAGAAAATATATAACTTGAGTGTCGTTCTCTTCGCATGAGTTCTTGAAGAAAACTTTACATCAGCTATTGTTATTGTATTAATAATTATACATAATGTTGTAGATAGTGATATCTTTGATGTGATGATATAAAATGGACTTTTTGTAAATAATTTCGTATGTAACTATGTTACTGTAATCACCACTGTACAGTATAAATGTTAGTATATTAACGTCAAACATGTTTTCCCTATTATGTTTTAAAGTGCTTGCCATTTTATATATTTTGAATGCTTTAATGATTTTTTTTGTTGATATGTAATTATACCTTTTTTTACAACAATAGACAAAATATACTATTGGTGCCTTTTTATTCAATTATATATAAAAAAAACAATGCAATTTAAGTTGTCTAAGTTTTTGTTGTTAATTTAAGTTAATTTTGAGTTAAACTCGTATCGCCTATATCCTTGCTTTTGTTTTAATTTATTGAGAATTGTGGAAAAACATTATATTTAATGGAAATAAATATAAATTGTTTTATGAAAATTTGGAAGCGTGGTGTGAACTTGAATTCTGTGTACTTTTCTTTTAAGGATGTGTTTAATATTAAATCAAAGTGATGTATCGAAATTTAAATATGTAATGGATCTATTTATTAAATATTTTGGTTAAAATAGAAAACTTTTGAAAATATCCTTGAAATTCATATGTGAATTGAAATATATTTATGAAAAATAAAAACAAAATCATACGATTTTTTTTAAATGTTATAAATAAGACTATTTTCAAAAAATATTGATAACTTACTAAAGGATGGTTTTCTGTAATTCGATTAGTATAGTTCAAATGTGAAAAAATATTTTATGAAGACTGACAGTATGAAATATATCGATGAAATTAACAAAACATAAATTACTTTATATAAATCATAGACAGCTAAGAAAACTTTTGAGTACAATAAATAGCTTATACGACAGTACATTATTATTTTAACGATTTATCTGAATAAAATTTACATATTGCTTAAAATGTTTTATTTAATTTATATAGCTTCTGATTTGCATTTGAATGTAGCAATATGCGCCTAACGAGTACGGAAGCTATTTACCTACAATTGCAAACCAAAAGCTAGCCTTACCTAGGTTTACCTAATGTTAGCAGATGTATTTTTTTATCATTTATTATTTTTTGTATAGGGCAAACATGTGCAACTAGCAAACTATTGAGGCTACTCGATGCTAGATGGCGCAAGCATACCTGCAAATTCTCGACATCTGTCTCCCTAAAGTACCAAGGGAACATACATTTGCAAGAGATTAGAAAGTACTATAGTCGTAGTTTTTCTTAACTATTTACTTCAGCCACCTGATACCAGATGGCGCGTATAAAACTAACTCCTTTTAAAAGCTACGAACTCGCTGAACTCTTCCCAAAGTACCAGGAGAACATATATTTGCAGAATATTCGTCATACTTTAATTATGCTAACGCCATCTGTTGAGTAGATATGTCACTCTTACTATAACGATGCATAATGTCACCACCAGAAACAAGACCATTTTCGCTGAGATGTCGCCGTATCGTCTACCATGAACTTAACTCACAAAATGGTGTAATTCATAAATAAATAACAAAACGGTACAATTACGCATCTGGTCAAAGTACTTTTTTTTTACAGTCCGGAGGTTTCGGGCCCGCTAAATTTGAATCTCAACTCATTTTAAATCAAACCCTACTAAAAAAGTGTTAAAATATCTGCAGCTTTTAGCGTGGTTTTTAATTTATTAATATTAAGAAAAGTTTACTAGAAAAAAATCCACGCGGACCTGGCAGCGGACGGGATGAGGACGAGCGCCTGGTCCGCGTGGATTTTTTTCTAGTAAACTTTTCTTTAGATTTAAACATCTCGCTCAAATTTTTATTTTGTTTTTTTAAGCATTTAACATGCTTAAAAAAATAAAAAATCATTATTAATATTAACCTAAGAGTAGGGTAGGTAAGGTTTTTAATTTATTAAGTAATTTTATAAACCACGCCAAAAGCTCACTTTAAGTATGTCATTCAGTATTTTACTGCTCCTGTAAAATTTCATTTTATATAATTATGTGTCACCGCACACGGGCCACACGCCACAGCCACTAACGCCGCCACGTGAAGCTAGAAGCGGCTACTAAAGTAGCTGAAGCGCGCGACAGCGGCCGACTAAAGCCCACCATTCACTACACGCACCGCGAGCCGAACCCCGAGCCGTACCCATCCGTGGACAAATCCGTCATTGCCCACACACTACACGAGCGTCGAGTTGCAGTCCAGTCGCTTGTGTACTTTGGTGAGCCTCGCGCGTATCGTTCTTCCCTGTATGGATAAATTCTTACCAAAACTCTTTATGATCGCCGAACGACATGTTATTATACTCGTTCATGATACAAACAACACAACTGCAGGCCAATTATGCTCGCTAATTGTGATATTGTTTTGATGTCAATTTCACATTACTCATTACGCTCTCCGAAAAATGCGATATCAAAATGACATCAACTTTAAAATGATATCAACTTAAATGCGTATTACGTTCAACTTTTTGACATAAAACAGTATCGCATAAACGTCAAAAATGTCATACAGACTTAACAAGTTAGGAGGTGGTTTTTCTGTATCAAATTCCTTTTTTTTTAATAAAAAAGAGTAAAATGGCTCGTTTCGGGTTAGTAATGGACTATTTAGAACGAGCTCATGCCGAGGACATGCGTAGAAGAGATAAACCCCTTGTAGAAGAGATACAATTAGCTCTTTATGTTCGCTAATTGTGAAATTGTTTTGATGTCAATTTCACATTACGTATTATGCTCTCCGAAAAATGCGATATCAAAATGACATCAAATTAAGCGTATTATGATCTACTCTTTAAAATGACATTAACTTGATATCAACTTAAATGAGTATTATGTTCAACTTTTTGACTTAAAACATTATCGCATAAACGTCAAAAAAGTGATACAGAATTAACAATTTAAGAGGTCGTGCACGCACTACAAATGACTGACAAGTTCGCCGACAAATCTGTGCAAGCACACACACGTACGGATTTGTACGGCGCGGCTGGGGTGCGGCGCGGATTTGTGTCGCCAGCGACAAATCCGGCGGATTGGCGCGCCCGTGAATGGTAGGCTTAAGGGAGAGAGGGGTGGGGAATCGCGCGAGTGACGTGTGGCGGCGTTTTGTATCGGCGCATTAAGTGGCCGGTGCACAAGAAGCGAGCAACGACGATTTGTAGCGTGTGGCGGCCACCGGGCGGCGTACCGTGTGCGGCGAGTCCATATAAAATGTATAAAAACTGCAAGAAATATGCCGGTGGCGGCGTTTTGTGGTTGTGGTCGCTGGCCCGTGTGAGGCAACACTAAACCGTTTTGTTCGCCATCTCCTCAAACATGATGTCGGTAAAAAATTATGAGAATGTTATGATAGTTATGTCATTCATAATAGAAGAGATATATCGCGGTCAGAAGATTTGATTTTATTGCCTTAGATTAAAACAAGGTATTGCATTGCAAAACAAAACCTACTCGAGGACCTCCTGATTAGAATAAAGAAATAAATGCAGCAATTTTTAAAGATATAGAAATGTTTATTACATCAATGATATACAAATAACATCCGTCCATTCTATGATACTTCGGTTCGACACATTCAATAAAAAAATACTACTCAGTGTACCCAAGTCAAACTCTTTGGAGCAACTGAAAACAATGCCTAGTATATATTCTAATATCACAGGAACCTCCCCTGAAATCGAAAAATATCATTATATCCAACTCATTCGTTACGTAACAGCCACATTCTTTTCAAAATCTCTCCGAATATGCTCACAATCAGAGGATTGACTGAAAAAAACAAATGAAAGCAGAAACTCTCATACTAGAAAGAGGTTTCGTTGTTTTTTTAAACGATGAGAAATGGCTTCCACTTTATATTTTCCGTGTTGTTAGATCTGGCTTTAGCGTGCAGTAGAAAATCTGGCCTTTGAAATATTCCATCTTTGGGACCTGAATTCCTTGCTATATTCAGTGAGGTACTATTGATACGCATATAAACTGGTAGAATTACTAATGGTGCATTAGTAGAAGATTCAGTGTTTGGTTTAACTTCAATGACCACGTCTTTTGGTGCACTTTTGGAGCTAAGTATTCCATATTCGAACACAGGTTTTCTTCTTACGTTAGATTTAATTTCCCTTGTAACTTTTGGTCGTGAAGATGTCGAAGACGAATGTACTCTTCGGAAATCTTCGAGGATCTCGTCTAGCCTCTCTTTGGTGATGTTTGTATAGTCTGTGGAAGATGATCTGATGACGTCATTGAAGAGCTTCGCGCATTCCGGAGTGTTCTGCCTTTTGGATATTGGGCATGTCTGAAATGAAATAAAGATATTTTATAACGTTAAGCTCGTCAACAATAAAAAAACTATTAACGTAATGATGATTACATAAGGGTTTCATATATAATTAATAAACATCACTAAAACCGATGTGAACCCCAAATGAAGCCAAACGAAGGCTTGCTGTTGACTTATCGAAAGCATACTTTTTGTACCTACTTTTGTCAACATATCAGTCATAATCGTATTGTTCAAAATAATCCTCCGTTCTCTAAAATTCTTGTAAATGTTGTTTTACTATATACTAGCTTCCTTTCTAGAAGTTGGTAGTTAGTTTTTTAGAATCCCATAAAAACCTGTCATTTTACCGGCATAAAATTATCCAGGTTATAGGATAAAATTGTGCCAAATTTCGCCCAAAACCATTCAGCTGTTTTTGCGCGATTGAGTAGGTAACAAATGTACAAACTTTCAAATTAATGATTATACTTAATAGTAAGACCTGATAGCAGTACACATTTCAATAAAAAGTATGTACTAGAAAATAGCTTACCATAACCATAGCATCCAACACATTCATTAGCTTCTGCGGCGAGTTGCAATACTCTTTATACATTGGCAAGGCATTAAACACGTTTATATATAGTTCAGTGAGAGCCCCCCACACTTGGTTGGATGAAGTGAACGATCTAATTCTGTCCTTCATTTGGAAATGATCCATGAATCCGTATTTGTTCAGTATGCCCATGTCACGCATCACGCATAAAGTGGATGGGGAGGAGTCTTTGCACTGAAATGTGTCAGAAAACAAAGCGTTAATATAATTATTTGTTATAATTGCAAAGTTGCTTTTTAGCTGCAGTACTGATAAGTTTTGAAACCTGAGCAAGAAAATGATTTCGTACACAGAACACAGAAAGAGGTAAAAAAGGTGGACACACCGTTTGTACGGAAACCGGTGTCGCTGGCTCGCCCCCACTACACATCCACCTAATGGATAATAGCCAATCAAACGACGCGACATCAAACAATCGAACCAATCAACGCTCACCCCCAAGAGCAACGACGTATCAGAACAAAATCTCATGTTATGAGGATTAGCTCACAAGGCCCTTCTTACTTCTTTCTGTGTTCTTTGATTTCGTAGCATAACGGAGGGTTTCAGAGCTACGAGACGCAGAATAACTTTACTTTTGAAACATACAACTTTTCACCTCAATATAGGGAGAAAAATGCTAGGTGCAAAAACAGTTTAAAAGAAGTGGTTGGTGCACTGACATTAATGTAATAATTTATTTTCAGTGGACAAAGGTGTATAGAATAGAAAAGTTTGAATTTCAAAAACTCTTACTACCATAGGAAGCAAAAACTTTTGCATACAGGATAACTGAAACTTTACGACCTTTTGGTTGAAAATACTCAGGTTACCTGGCAAGCTTCTAAAATAGGCTGTGGTGACCGCTTTCCATCAAGGGGGCCCAAGCCAAATGCCTACTAGCCACAATTTTAACATAAAAATAAAATCACGGAGTAACTAACGGACGGAGCTACTCCGTGGTCATGGCGATTTCAACAGAACTGAAATATCAGGGACTCACAAAAAATATAGCTGCGACTTAAACAACCTGTGATCAACCCAACAATTTGATAAAATTACGAACGCAAAAGTACCGAGAAATCATTCCTCCATATACTGTTGTTCTTCTTGACCGGAGCCTCCGGAACATATTCTATCTGGCTGACGGATGTGACACCGCATTCTGACAGAACATCCCGGTCCACTAGGTGAGGCAGACCGCAGACGGAGCGGCGGTTTTTCTATGAAATCCCAAACAAATTCATTATTACATAAGCCGCTTACTTAGCAATATCTTCTAAACAGTTTACAGAACATAAAATGTACGCCAAAATCTATCTGACAAATATTTTAGACGACCTCCGTGGCCGACTGGTGTAGGTATACTACGGGTTTCATGGCGTCGCCTACTCAGAGGTCCCGGGTTCGAATCCAATAGGGGCGATTGTTGGGCTAATTGGTTTGAGTTTGTGAAATATTTATATTTATTTTCACTGCACATGGTTTTTCTTATTAGCTATTTATGAATGTGACTGCAGTCCCTCCTTTTCTTTTCCTACAGAGCATGATCAGGATAAAGGTAGGTACTACTAGCAACTGTCGCAATGCCCGGTCATAGGGTGGGTGACCAAAAGTTAGTTTTTTGTTCACGCTTCGGAAAGGCACTTTAAACCATTGGTCCCGGCTGCATATGCTGTCGTCAGCACCTATCAATCTAGACTGTGAATCATGTCCCGATCTCCCTTTTACATCCATAAAGAAGGTTTGTGCCCAGCAGTGAGGACATTAGTAGTCTGATTCATTAATTCAAGAGATCGTATAAACAAAAATAACATCAATTATATGCGTATTTGCGTTCTTATATAAAAAATAAACAAAATAATAGCACATTAAAAAAATCAAAGATATTGCTTAATAAAGGTTTGTAAAAAAAGATGTTAAATTGTAGGATAACTTACAGGTCTATATTTTGAAGACGATATCTGACACACTGTGTTGTTACGTCTAGAATGTCTGAAAAGGATAGAATAATTTAATTTAATTTTAAGTACAAAGAATAAAGATAAGAGTTTTTTGACTGGTAATTAAAATACCTTATTAATTTCCAAATTTTAGAGCAACGCACGGCCGATGGTCCAGATTTAGATTTAAAGGACGCACTTTCTCGGAACAATTACTCTAATGACCACAAGTGGCAATTTTGAGAAATGGGTTTTTAACGCTTTAGGTCGACCTGTATGTAATTAACTATGTAATGGAATCTAAGGTATCTTAATGTAACCATCTTTCAAGGATCGTAGCGTAATGAAAATTGGCAGCTGTATGTAGTTCTGATGACAATACATAATATGGTACTGTCGAACTAATCTGATGATGGAGCCGGAAGATATGAACTGGAAACTTCATGATGGAACATCGTATCATAGCTGTTTTTGGATTTCTTAGAAAAGTCTTGTAATGAGCTTTGACAACGATTAAGTTTCAAGGTCTGATGATGAAGCCGGAAGGTTCTTGTTCGTTGACGAGATATTTATGGTTTCGTTTGAGATGTTATGCATGATAGACGCGCGTTTACGCCAGCTAAAGGATTCCGATGAACCCTTTGGCGGTATAAACGTTATGCTCTTTGGCGACCTCATGCAGCTTCCGCTGGTGCGTGGGAAACAGGGGTTTCAACAGCCGGACCACATGAAACCAGCAACTCATTTATGGCGGCTTTTCACATTAGTCGAACTCAGACAAAACATGCGCCAGCGAGGAGACACGACATTCACCGACATCTTGAACGCCTTGAGGGTCGGAGAGCTGTACAGCGAGCATCTCGCAGTATTGTTGACAAAGAGCGGGAACACACGATGCGTTGCGGCGGCGGTGCGGCGCCGGAGTGGTGTCGCTGCGTCGTCTTACATAGAAATATCTGTGGCATGTCACACGATGAGCTCCGGCGCCGGCTCCGCACCGGACTTGCAACCACCGAGACGAGGCAGGGTGAGGTGACTGCGTTGCGACTTCACCCCTCATGTTTATGCGTCATAGAGAATGTATGCTGCTGGGTTGCCCGCGGCGCCGCTGCGACGTAACAACGTTGCGGCGCCGCACCGCTCGCGTGCTCGCTCTTAGTGGAGATCTTCTGTTTTTCTGAAATTTCTCCTGTTCTTTTGTTTTTCTACATGAATCTAATGTTATGCTTGGAATACGATTTTATTTTTTAAATGCGATGCGATGATGATGATGTGATGCGGCGAAATCTTTGCGGTGCGGCGCCGCAACGCATCGTGTGCTCGCGCACTAAGGTCTCATCAAATGCTTCCGGCGAGCAGGGTTGCCAGGTCTCATGATTTAACAGGAGATCTTTTGTTTTTCTACATGAATCTAATGTTATGCTTGGAATATGATTTTATTTTTTAAATGCATGTTGAGTTGCGTTTTCCGTCATTAAGAATGTAGGTAACCTTAATTATAATAAAATAAATGTTATTGACTAAAAAAATAGGAACTGGCAACACTGCCGGCGAGTATGCGCTTGAAAAATCACTGCGTATTTATCCAACAAACTGCCAAGTTGAGAAACACTACAATTAAGTTCTGTAACTTTACGAACGAAAAGGTACTCGAATGTACGACATAAAGGCACAAGACCAACTTACTGGTGCGACCCGAAACCTTAGAAATACTTCATTGGAGTCCATTGTTCCCAGCTAGCCAGCAGCATAAATAAAACGGCTGGACTACCGAATAAATTAAGAATTTTCAAAGGGGCTAAAATCATGTCTCTATCTAATATAGACGTAGAGAAAGGGCTAGTGAATGGGATTATCGGATTCATTAGCAAATTATACAAAAAGTCTTTCCTGTTCCAGCGCCCCACGCTTTTAAAAACAAATATTATATGTAATTAAAAGCAAATATTTGCACTTCAGCCCAAAAATAGAGACAACTTGGACGATCCATAACTTATTTTTTGTTTTTACGTGCATTTAAAAAAGTGTGTTTTTCTTGTTTTTTTTAATCTATTAATTTATACATATTGATTTAGTATAATTTACTTAAAAACTTACTTGCAAACGTCTTTCTTGCTCTTATGCGGGCAATTCTGAAATGAAATACAACACATTTTTATGCACTGCATTATTAGAAAAACAATATTGTTATTGTATGCTTGTTGAAGTATAAGTATACAAAAAAATGGGTGCGTGTACTTATGCAGGCGCGTGAGAAGTTATCCTTCTTTCGCATCGTTTAAAATTAGTTTTTAATTGCATGCAAATAATTAATTACAATAAATTAATAAAAATTCTGGATAAGGACACAGTCAATAAAGTTCAGTTTTAATTTGAAAAAATAAATAAATAATCAAAATATTCAATTAAAATCGCTACTGAATATAATTTATTAGAACATATGTGATTTGCACTTGTATGAAACTCAAACACGTATTCCGAATATACAAACTAGAAACATGTGGATAAATATTATAAATATGAATACCTATAACTGTTACTTTATTACAAAAAATAAAGATGTGGTTTTTGGTTCTACTACACCAATGGTCAAGAGATGGCGCTGTAGTCTCCTGAATCGCGCTTTGGTTCCGTTGTTCCAGATTAATAAATACTTTTGATATTATAAATATGAATACCTATAAATGTTACTTTATTACAAGAAATAAAGATGTGGTTTTTGGTTCTACTACACCAATGGTCAAGAGATGGCGCTGTAGCCTCCTGAATCGCGCTTTGGTTCCGTTGTTCCAGATTAATAAATACTTTTGATAGGCCTTCACAATGCAGTCGTTAGCACCCACTAAATAGAGATTCTATTTCTATTTTGTTGGTAGATTTTCTTAATGTGCGGTAAACACAAAAGTAACGGATGAAGTTGGTCGCTAAAGCGAAAGCACTAAAGCGACCAACTTCATGCTGTTATAATTTTGTGTTACAGTGATGCGCGCGCATCTTAAAATTTCACTCTCATCATTTTTTCATAACGCGCCTAAAGAAGTATAACTTCAAATATAATACTATTTTTTTTTCTTGTCTATGTTTATTATTTATGGCTCCTGTAGGTGGCGTGTAGTCTGATTCTAGGATTTCATGTATGGAATGCGCCTGCAATTTTTGGAAGTACTTATTATTTTTTTTATTTTAATTTTTATTGCCAACTTTTATGATCTACTAGCTGTGCCCCGCGGTGTTACCCGCGGTTTATTATGGATATTTTCCGTACGAAAACGTAGCCTATGTGTTAATCCAGGGTGACAGCTAACTCCATACCAAATTTAATTGAAATCACTCCAACCGTTTAGACGTGAAGAAGTAACAAACTTACACACTCACACTTTATAATATTAGTGTGATATTTACTACTCTTGTGGTGAAGCCATTTTTTATGTAATTATTATTTTTAAAGGTATTATTAAAAAATAACCTATTAAATAAATACTAATAAAGAAACTTAGAATACGACGTCTGCACGTTGTTAATCTGCTGATTCGTCGACTATAAAGGTCAACTAACCACTAGTGATGTGCCGGATATCCGTATTCGTATCCGCAGATATCCGAGGCAGAAGAAAGATCCGTATCCGTGTCCGTACTACTTTTTGGGGGATCTTTTACGGATCTATTTACCTTATAAATTTTAAATTTATAGATAAAATTCTTTAAGGCGAAGGGTAAGGCGCACTAGCGACGTATTTATCGATAAGTATTTACTAAGGCAGCGCTGCATCATCCCCTTCTCAGGGCTTGATCGTGTTTTAGTCAGTAAGAGTCTGGCATAACCCTACAGCCGGCTGTAGGGTATCCATGAGGATTTCACACGCGCTCCCCCGCCTGGGAGGAAACAAAAAAAAACAAAAAGCTCTAAGCACTACTTATAAAATATTAAAATACAAAAAATAATTAGGCACACTCTATACATGAAACGCAATCATGACCCAAAGTTTGTAATAATTCCAACAATTTCACATTATTATCGACGACCTCCGTGGCGGAGTGGTTTGTACGCCGGGTTTCATGGTGTCGCCGACTCGAGAGGTCCCGGGTTCGAATCCCGGTGGGGGCAAATGTTTGTGTGATGAATACGAGCATTTGTACTCCAGTCATGGATGTGTAATATGTATTTCTATATAAATACTTATATATGTTTCAGTATAATATGTATTCTATCCGTTACCCTAGCATCCCATAACACAAGCCTTACAGTGCTTACTTTGGGGCTAGGCTAATTGGTGTGAGTGTTGGAAATATTTTATTATTTTATTATTTTATTTATTTTATTATTATCTATAAGTTTCGAAATGTTTTTTATGTTGATTTTTAATTGTAAAAAACTGCAATATGAGACAATTTTGAAGTTTCACATGTCCATCAAGTAATATATTAAAATAGATATCTGCACCAAACAGTAATGATATTTCTGTTGGGACATTAAAGTCACTGTCAGCAAGTTCTACATGATGTGGATTACATTTAAGGTAGAAATATCAATAATATGATGTTATGGTAGTTTTGATGTAATGGAATTTATAACATTACGATTTGACTTCTCAGTACAAGGTTTCCCGCCGTAGATTTGCGAACCGATGGCTTTTTGCCATTCACAAGTGCTTGTAACAACCTAGACTGAATAAACGGTATTGAATTTTGTTTTTTTTATTTATTTACATTTTGCATTAAATTGTACACCATTCAGAGAGGGGAATGCACTGTGATGTTTACAAACTTATCAATTTTATTATTTTTATTACCAATGCAAATTATATTGGAATTTTGACATTTTGGCTTTATGCCTAACTTTTCAATTAGTGACATAGAATTAAGAGGTTTGACTGCCCGTATCAAGAAGAGCTTTGACAACAGTCGTCAATAATGACAACAGTGGTCAATAAAATGTTTCAATCTCTCTTCTTTAGCAGAAGTTAATATCGTCTTTACCTCACTAAACACGTCCAGCACACACCCCAGTACTTTGTTGATCTCACAATCAGCATTATATTCGCTGCTCATCCGGCTGTTACTCAAGCACTGCGTCATAACCCTGGCCTTCGCTTTGACCCAGGACGGGTTCAACGCGGTAAAGTTATCCAGGACTTTTGTCAAAGCTTCTATGTCTACTGTGCCCGATTCTGAGATCGCATTTAGTTTACTGAACACGCAGGTCGTTTTGTCACACTGAAAATGATAAAACTTTTAATATAGTGGGTGTCTGTGACTTCGTGTGCATGGAAAAATTGCTTTCTTATACACACTTCTACCTACTCTTTTCACCCCCTTCAAGGATGGATTATAGGATAAAGACTGTCCATATCCTTCTCCGGGACTCAAACTATCTCTGTACCAAATTTCACATAAATCGGTTCAGTGGCTTAGGCGTGAAGAAGTAACAAACAGACAGACACGCTGTCGCATTTATAATATTAATATGGATGTTCAAGCACTGCTTACTCGTAGTACTACCTATTTATATTTGGGAAATGTTAAAAAGTTCCTCAAAAACATCCACAAAAAATTCTAATCCGTAACTTAAAGATTTTATTTTTTTGTAAAACTCTTTTGTATGCATTTGTTTTTTTTTTTATTTTTTTTATGAAGTATTTGTTGCTTTTGTATTATTGGTTACCATTGGGTACCTACACAACCCAATGACAAGGGCGGATCCAGCTTTGGTGCCAGGCGGGGGGTCATATAGCCAGCTTTGACGCCAGGGGGGGTCATATAGTCGTGGTATATAAATATAATTAAATATTGAAAGTACTTAAATAAAAATCCCCATGACCCCCCCCCCCCCTGGATCCGCCCTTGCCAATAAGTCCCCGGGATGGCTGCCGTGGGCGATGTATGGGTTTAATTATAGAAGGGAAAGAGTACAGAGACAGAACGAAGAAAGACGGGAGAAGAAGAGTAGAAAATAATGATATATTGTTTTTACCTTTCATGGTCACTAACATTATAGCTATTAACAGGATTGTTATCATGTACCTTGTTTTTTATGAGTCTCCGATATTTTGGCACTGTTGCAAGCGCCAACAACAAATGCCAAAGAAATGGCGCTTGCAACAGTGCCGAAAGATGTCTCCGATGGGAGACTCACAAAAAACACAGTACATGGTAACAATCCCGTTAACAGCTATAATAATAGAAAATAATGGAAATTCACAAGCGGGAAAACGAAAAGATGAACACTTATTTTCTATAACAAATGAACTCACAGGCAATGGCACAATCCTTATGTCTTTGTTGACCGGAGTGCTAGTAGTTTCAGGTAACACGGTAGTGGTAGGAGCCAAGTTTTGTTCGTTTATCTTAAATCTCTTACTGCCGTCCCATGATAGTTGAAAGCCGCATTCCGATCTTGACGATGATGCGATAAAGTCATCCATGTCACAACATTCCAAAGGATCTATTGAATACTGCCAAAAATAAATTGACAAAACAGTGATTAAGTAAGCTCTAGAATTGTTTTATCTCAATTAATTATTCTATAAAATCACGGTCACAAAATTGAGATTTATTATAAATATTCAATAAAAATATAATAAACTAGCTGACCCAGAAAACTTCGTACCTCCATAAAAATATGTGTAGTTGGTAGAAGAGAAAATTTAAGGTTGTATGTATTTTTATACCATATTATATAAAAAAAATATATTCCAAAAACATTTTTAGGGGTGTGTACCGTAGTGTTCTATCAATTTCCTGTGATAACACTTCTCCTAACCACTTAAGGATGTGAAAATCTATTTTTTCTAGTAGCCGATTCTCAGATCCACGGAATATGCATATAAAATTTCATAAAAATCGGTCAGGCCGGTTCGGAGGAGTATGGTAACTAACTAAATTAACTAACTAACTAACATTGTGAAACGAGAATTTTATATATAAAATAAGCACATTTTACTCACTAAAGTTTATATGGTAAATGAGTGCAGAAACCTAACATTTCCACACGATAAACTAATAAAAAAGATATGACACACACACAATCTTCGAAACAGGTACAACGATTATAGAAGTAAATAAACTCTAGTAAATAAACTCTAGCAAATAAAACCTTAACGTCCTCACTTTAAGATCGATAATTTAGCGACCGCTTCTTAAAAATATCCTTCAAGAAGATTATACGATTAAGAACCTTATCGGTCGTTGGTCCTGGCTGTCTCTGCAATCATTCATCATCAGCCTATGACCCCACTGCTGGGGCACAGGCCTCGCCAATCAGCACTGAGCCCGAGTGGTAGGTAATGGCCCAATCTCCCTATTCTATTTCTAGGGATTGCCTGTGCCCGAGCAGCGGGGACATTAATAGGTTGATGATTATGACTGTAAATACAATTTTCAAATTGACAAAATACGCACCTCCCCATCTGTTGGCAAAAGTACACGTCTGTCTTTTTTATTTGCCTTCGGTTTTGTAGCTACCTGTAAGAAAATGACATCACATAAAAAGCACTCGTAGAATGTATATGTATTATATTTGCATTGTACGCATAATTATTAAATTTTATGAAAATAAATTACTGTCTGTGTGTGGATGGAAGTACTTTAGCATATTATTCTGAAAATATTAATAAGTTAAATGCAACTTATTAAACGTTACGCAACTAACAGCAGCACTCGTTGAGGGAAATGTAATTTAAATTTAATTGTCTCATTAAATCAAGTATTTATTTGTTATCGCAAAGAAAATACTGTTACATCTCAAAGTGAGGCTGTGATACATCAAAGTGATACATAAAATATTGTGGCTCTACCATATGACAATAGTACATAATCCACGTACGACAAAGGTGATAACTTGAACTAATCTAAGCGGCGCTACGGGTTAGAGTGAGAGAGTTAGGAGGAGTAGTAGTGAAGAGGAGCCTGCCGGTAAAAATTTAGAAATAAGTCGCCCGTTTTGGGGTTTGCGAAGGAGAGGGGAGGGGTGGGGGAGGGAATTGAATCCCCCCCACTATTTCCGTTCGCCGGAAATACTTCTGGCGCTTCGCCGGCCGTATCTGTCAAAATCTACATTCAAAATGTCGGTTTGCGTTTCGTTTCACGCATTTGTTTCATATTTTGCTTTAAAGACAACAATTATACAAAACTAATGTAAAAATTACGTTCCGTTCCACAATTTTATTTTACGAAATTTTGAAAATAGTTTTAAAATATTTATACGCAACTCCGGCAACCAAAGTTACTTTAGGAAGTCAAAAAGATATTACTTTAACCCCTTACACATCCAGTAGCCTCAAATTCAGGCGACTTGTTTCTAAATCCAACCCGCCTGCCTACCGCTGCCGTATGCGTGAGAGAAAGGGAATCCAGACAGACTGGAGCCGTAACGCGTTACGTAACGAACCGGTTTACCCTCCCATAAGAAGTTATCATTTCAAATTAGACAAGTCCGTCCGTCTTTCTGTCTGTGGTGCTGTTTCAGCGGCCAAACCGTAAGAGATAGATAAAGAGAATATTTAAGTTATAAGTTAAGAATAGTCTGATAAGACTACAAACCGGATTTGAGTAACGTAGCACTTCCGGTTTTCGAGAAATCACGAATTTCAAACGAAACCACACAAAATCTCCGAAGTTCTCAATTAATTAAATACATTTTTTTTATTTTTTTTATTTTTAAATCGGGTTTTGGTGAACATTTGGTTCACTGGTTTGCTAGTTTCAATTATTATCACTGAGCGAGATAACTTACCAAATAATGTTTGAGGGTGTCGTTGGCCTTTGGTTCGTTCTCGTAGTATCTCAAAAATGTATGGAACCCGCATTCGGTCAACACCGTTGTGTTTATGAATGTCGGGATATCACAACACTTTGTGTCAAAATACTGAAAATAACAATCAATAGGTAATTATTATAGTTTTTTTTTAATTGTTACCAAAGATTTCCATTTCAAGCATAATGATTGGAAATTGTGGTTTGTATATTCTTCTTCTTCAAAGCGTTCTTCGTAACGTAGTAAATATTTATGTCTCGTTAAATATTGCTGGTCTATGTGAAAAGGGGAAGCCTTACTATAATAATAAGACATTATACTAAATAAATTGACATTGTAATCAATATATTTAACATTTAATTGGCTATTAATAATTGAATTGAAATTTGTATAATACCAGGCTTAATGCCAGCTGCGCTGTGCCTATTTCTATTTCCAATTCATATTTATTAGTTATATATAATGTAATAATAAAGTATGGAAAAAAAACACTTGTATTTGTATAATAAAATGAAATATATAGAAAGTTAAAATACCATACCTGTCTCATAAACCAAGCAGGGCGATGCTCTTTGGGCAAATTCTTCTCCAAATCTTTGTATCGGCTGCAAATGAAAAATGTTAATATTAGACAACAACTTTAAATCAATTTAAAATTTATTTATGTGTCCACTTCTGGGGCATAGGGGCACAATATGGATTGATGAGTACTTATGACTGCAGAGCAAGGCGATCCCACGGCTTCACGTCTCTTCTGAAATACGGAGCACCTTGGAGCACCTCGAAAAAATAAACTTTAGATTAACTTAACCACTGCGCCATCGAACTCCACCAAGAGATGAGTAATAAATATATAATATGGCGCGATTACACCTGGTCGTTAGCCCGAATACGAGTGCCAATGAAATTCGGTAAAATGACTAAAAGTAAATGAACGGAGTCAAAAACGCCCGTACTCGGGTAGATTTCCTTTTATTTACCCAGCACTGTCCTCCAGCCCATCATCATCATCATCATCAGCCTATTAATGTCCCCACTGCTTGGGCACAGGCCTTCCCTATGAATAGAATAGGGAGATTGGGCCATGACCCACCACGCGGGCCCAGTGCGGATTGGTGGGTGCTATCGACTGCAGATGCAGCCGGGACCAACGGCTTAACGTGCCTTCCAAAACACGGAGGAGCTCGAGATAGTAAATTTTTTGTCACCCATCCAATGACCGACCACTGCGAAAGTTGCTTAACTTCAACGACCGCAGCCGAACGCGCTAACCACTTGCGCCATCGAGCTCCTATTCAGCCCATATTACAGTCTAAATATTGCTTCGGATCCCCGATTTCGAATAATGTCTTTAAAATGTGTTAAAATAATAAATAAATATATACTTTGTAACTTACCTTTGAGTAAACATGTAATTCATGCCAGCGGTAGTGCCTACAGGGTTACAAGCATCGTCTCTTCTAGTATGATTCACCGGGCAGTTCTATTATAATAAAAATAAAACAGATTAATATATGGAAATCTAAAGCTACCGTCAAATCTTCAGCTTCAGTTTATCCGAAGTTATTGATGTTGCTTTGTATTAAATAATTCGAGTTTTAAAAAGTAATACCGTTTATACTGGTAAATAGCAAACATTATATTAGCGGGTAAAAATTTGAGTTTTTTTTTTTCTAAATGGCTTCGCACGGCTTGTGCATTTAGCCAATGTCAAGTGTTAAATGTAGGTATACAAATACTATAGCACTCGTGGTCAAAGTAATAAGTCAAGTCAAAGTAAGTGGCAGTCAAGTCAATCCCCCTTTCCCTATGTTTCAGAAAAAGTGTGGGGATTTACTAGAACCTCCCCGTGGACTTCTTGAGGGAACGTCGAAAGACACTTTCCGCTATTTTGTTTCACTTGCTAAAACTTATGCATGTTCCCGAACACTTAGTGGTTAATAATCCACAATTATTAGACACTAACATCCGCCACAACACAATTTTTAACAAGAAAAACAAAACTGCTAAAGTGACGCTTCCCGATCCCGCCCAAAAAGTCCAAAATTTGAGTTATTTTATTTAAGAAATGTTGTTTTTTTTTCATATAAACAATACGCTGTTGCGCTGTAAAGGTCAACTGCTACCAACAGCATACACACTCGAAAAAAATAACAGTTCAGTCGGGCTGCGGCCCCTAGCTACCATCACCCAGCTCAGAGCAAGATTCTCCCCTTTGGCCTTCCTGCAAGTGTAACTTTAACCACGCATACGATTCTTAACTTGGCTCCCATTTTCACATTTTTCTTTTTTTATAGAATTTAATTTTACCACTTACCTCAATCAAATTATCAAGTGTGCAGTGCAACAACGCTTGAGCAGTGCAAGTGTTGACATACTGCTTCGGCCTGTTATTGTAGCAAATATCGACAGCAGTATCAACAGCCTGGTGCCAGTCTTCGGAGAGAAATGACTTGAGGATATTCGTGTAATCCCCTTGGGGAGGTAACGAGGCGGGAAGACCGAGGTTTCTGGCCACGCAGTCCCATGGCCGACACTATAAATATAATAATTCACAGTATATAAATAAATATAATATGAAAAGTATCAAAAATCGCTGAACATACATGGGGCATCGTGGGTATTCAATAGACAAGGTAAAGTGGTCCTCCACTACCTCTCATCGGATTGACACCTTACGGGAAACACTATGTAGGTATGATAAAATACACCTTAAAGGAAATACTATGTATGACAAAGATAACAAAGAAAAACATAGATTAAACCAATAAAACCTATGAACTAACAAGAGTACTACCTCCTTCTTTATTTACAACTTTTCTATCTTGCGCCTGCGACTTCATTCCCCGTTAACTTTAGTTTCCCACATTTTCTTATATTTTTCTGAAAGAACCCTCTACAAAGTATCTATTAGATAACTTAAAAGATTTCGCGAAGAAAGGGGGAAAAATAGGGGACAGCGAACAACAGAAATCTTTAAAGTCGTTCTCAGACCAAGAGAAATCAGGGGGTGTTTTTTTATATATAAAGATGCGCAGAAAATCCCCCTTTTTTCGAATGCATCAGCTTTCTTGACCCTCCACCACACTTGGTGGGGTGTGATAATTAAGTGTTTCGCCCCGTTAGGTATTAAAAATAACTGAGCTTTTATCGTTTCCAAGTTTATACTTAATTACCTTGAAATAGGACTTTGACATCCGCCAGATAAAACATGATAAACAAGTTATAATTAGAATATCACAACACGATTTAATTTTAATAACAAAACCCCTTCAGGTAACATACCAAGCGTGCGTTTTTCAAATACGGGGTGCCGAACTCAGCTTTAGTGTATAGTACCTGGAAATGTAATAAATTATGGTAATTAAGAGATACAGCTACAAACCTACTCATGTTTTTATAAGAACTTCCGATCATTAAAGTCAATGCTGTGCTGTGAGATTGAAGAAAAACAAAATTGATCGTGCCGTCTTCCTTGAATTTAATAAAGACCTCGATAGTAAACAAAATTAATATCAGTCAAGTAAAGAGCGAACTTTTTAAATCAACATTCTGTGTTTTTTTATGTTAAAAGAATGGCAAATAGATATGGATATAGATAGCACACCCCTCTGATGGTAAACGGCCACCATAGCCTATAGACGCTAGCGATACAAAAATATCACTCGCGCCATTGTGTACCCTGAGTCCCTGACCCAATCCCCTATGAGACCCTGACCCAATCCCCTATGAGTCCCTGACCCAATTCCCTATGAGATCCTGACCCAATCCCCCGTGGAGCCCTGGAACTTACTCATAGACAGAAACACAACACCAACAAAAGGTAGTATTATTTTCCTGTGGTCTTCTGTAAGGTGGAGGTACTTCCCCAGACACCGCTACGCCGTACCGGCAATGCCTAGTTTTTGTTACCCGAGCTGGCGTCTAAGTCGTACCTCTCTTAAAAAATTCACATTGCGAAAACACGTTGCTATCTCGTATCAAAATATAACATTATTTAGAAACATTGAAAGTAAGTTCTCAAGCATCATTACTATATCAAATTATTCTCATGGTAGAAGAAAATTCGGTGATAATTTCGCATTCCACCTCCATGTGATAAAATCACAGAATGACATCATTACTTTTCTTGGTTTTGTGTTCATGTTAGTGACTTTCCAATGCTCCACGGGGTAGGGGCCTGAGTTAAACAGATATTTCACTACCCGATCGTCAGGGCGTAAGGAAGGAAGGTCATCGGGTCCCTTACTCCCTAACTCATATTACATCACCCTTAGTCAGGGTAAGGGTCCCTTAAAATTGGGTAGTCTAATAGGCGTATGTCCCCCTCAGGTTCGAGTGTTCTAGAGGCTCCAGAAGGAGAGGAGACTCCCCCCGTGGGGAGATGCCATCCGCCTGGAATACCTGTAGAGGCAATCGCCAATTCGCGGCTTGTGGTCCCCTTAGGATCTCGCCGTCCCCAAACCCGGTGACGCTGTAAATGTCATCTGCGACCAACAGCATACACACTCAAAAAAAATAGGCGCATGAGGGCTGGCAAGGTAAGGATGACTGGTTGGAGTGGCATTTTTTTATTGCCACAGCAGTTCCTCAAGCACGAACAACTAGCGAGCGATTTTAATGTTCGTGCTTGAAGTACAGTTCTCTTAGCATCAGTTGGGGTGCGATCATAGAAGTATCATCATGGAAGTATTAATATGGTGGGATACCTAACTAATTATTAATTTGCTGCTATGCTATTATTATAGAGCGTTGGGATCAAATTCGATTCGCTTATTATTAAATCACTCCGCGTATTCTCATAGCATCGGTAATGTGACACGGCTTCCGTATACGCAGTATGCAGAATAAACATTATGACAAAATTGTTATTATACTTATATGTCGATAAGTACGATACGGCGCAGCTTTCATCAAATTCTGGTGTTTCACATACCTACTTGACCAAATCCAAGAATGGGTAAACTGAGCAAATACATATGAGTTTATAATTTATACCTAGTGTCCTAGCTTATATGCAGCAGCTTAGCTCGTTAGGAGGACATCCGAAAATATTTTTGTTTTGATACAATATTATCTTGGAATCGGGGTATAAATATGGACAGTCACAACGTACATACTTCGTTTATGTTGTGTTGTGTTTCACCGGTTTCACTGGCGGTTCCTTCCCGTAGTCCCAGGGCTCAATTCTATGCCTTGTCAATATAATAGTAAAAATCGGCCAGAATTCACCATTAATAATCGCAACGGCTATGATTAGGTGCTTTTGCCTTAAATAACGTTAAATACCTACACAAATGTTTGGATAAAAAAATGTTTATCAGCTAAACTTATTTTGAATACAGCTTAAAACGAAACTTTGCTAAACACTTAATCGCTGTCTACTTTATACAAGGTTAATTTATTGATAAAATTATTTTTAAAATATCTTACCGTGCCCAGAAGCAGAATGAAGCCCAATGACCGCATGTTTACAACGAGGATGTTCAAGAGCGACTGACTGCCAACTTCGACCGATACGGAGTTGACTAGAGGTCGAATGATGGTAGATAAAAGGTTTTGTTTACATTTTAAATGTTTAGTAAGCTACTACAATGACCGATGGACAATAATTGCGGACATATGTAATTCTATATCTATGTAATTCTATGGCGAATCCATTTTAGATTAATTTTGGAAGAAGACATGGTTGAAATAAAAGACATTGGCTACTTTCTGTCGTGAAAGTTAACTTTGAAGGTGGTTAGTGCCGTCTTTGACCTATTGGAGGCCCTGGGCATATTAGGATAATGGGGACCCCCCTTTGGTGATTTAACAGGACCTAGGGACTTTGTATTTGATCTGAGGGGGGCCCATATCGATTGCGGAGCTTGGAAAGAGGGGTCTGAAAGTGGTCAAAACGGGGGTGAGTATTCAAGATGCGTTTTTTATGCTAGGATTGTGCTAAATAATCTGAACTAGTAGGTGCAAAATGAAATGTCACGAAAGCTACTAAATTAAGGATCTCAAAAGGCATAATTACGGACTTTACTTGTTTATATAATAATTTATGCCAAAACAAAAAAGTGCAATTTTACATTAATAATGACGGTAATTATTTACACTATCATCGTCATGACCAGTCTCTTATTATCCCCACTACAAAGGCACAGACAGGCCTTCCCTATGGATACAGGGAATCTGCCCTTTCAATTGAACTCACAGTAATCGTAATTTTTGTATTTTTATTTTTTTGCAAAAATTACATCCCACGTTTATTCTTCTTAATGTTTATCCGAAGTTTATTCATATTATTCTTTTAAATCATTTTTTATTTAACATTTAAACACAGTACTTCCACCTAAATGTCAATTGTGTTTAAAAACTGCAGCTTTAAGCACGTACTAGACGATTATGCAGTACTTGTTTCGTTTACATTATTTTCATTTAGCACATAACTTTTAGCAATTAATTTTAACTTAACCCAAACGCAGAATTCACCATTGAATGCAAGCATTTGAATGTAGCGAGATAACAAAGAGCTACTTCTGCGGCGCTAAAACTAAACGTAGTATTCAGCATTTCTGCATTTGAATGTAGCGAGATAACGAAGAGCTACTTCTGCGGCGCTAAGACTAAACGTAGTATTCAGCATTGCTGCATTTGAATGTAGCGAGATAACGAAGAGCTACTTCTGCGGCGCTAAGACTAAACGAAGAATTCAGCATTGCTGCATTTGAATGTAGCGAGATAACAAAGAGCTACTTCTGCTGCGCTAAGACTAAACGTAGTATTCAGCATAACTGCATTTGAATGAAGCGAGATAACAAAGAGCTACTTCTGTTGCGCTAAGACTAAACGTAGTATTCAGCATTATTGCATTTGAATGTAGCGAGATAACAAAGAGCTACTTCTGCTGCGCTAAGACTAAACGTAGTATTCAGCATAACTGCATTTGAATGTAGCGAGATAACAAAGAGCTACTTTTGCGGCGCTTAAACTAAACGTAGTATTCAGCATTGCTGCATTTGAATGTAGCGAGATAACAAAGAGCTACTTCTGCTGCGCTAAAACTAAACGTAGTATTCAGCATTGCTGCATTTGAATGTAGCGAGATAACAAAGAGCTACTTCTGCGACGCTAAAACTAAAATAGTAATCAGCATTGCTGCATTTGCGTGAAGCGTAAATAACAAAATGATTGTTAGCAATATCACCTAGCTCGTATTCAATACTGCGTTTGTAGTTAGATAAAACGCGGTATTGAGTACGAGCTAGGTGATTTTGCAGTACATAATTGACCAATTCAAGAAATATGTTTATCGCATTATCTCCAAACCGCTTTTTTGCAAATATGTATGTACTGCGTTTGCAATAAGGAGGGCAGAGATTGGGCAGTGACCCACCACGAGGGCCCAGTAAGGATTGGTGCCAGCGACTGCAAATGCAGCCGCGACCAACAGCATAGTGTGCCTTCCGAAGCACGGAGATGCTCGAGATATTTCGTTTTTAGTCACCCATCCTATGACCGATTATTGGGAAAGTTGCTTAACTTGCACGATCGCAGGCCGAACGTGATAACCACCTGCGCCATCGAGCTCCTCACAAAAGCACTCCGTGCTTCGGAAGGCACGTTAAGCCGTTGGTCCCGGCTGCATCTGCAGTCGTTAGCACCCGCCAATCTCTCTATTCCATCAATGGGGAAGGCTTGTGCCCTAGCAGTGGGGATATTAATAGACTGATCATGATGATGAGTGCTTTTGTGGGTTGACGCAAATTGTGTGTACTTGACTAACATAAAATTGATGATTAATATGTCTCAACCGCTTTCGACCCGAGGCTGTTAGGGATACTACCAGGAGTGAGAGAAGTGTTAAAATATAGACATAAAAGAGGAGAGGAAAACAGAGAAGAATTAAGACGAGGTAAGAAGATAAGATAAGGAAAGGAATAAAGGGACGTAGTTAAAGGACGTACGAAGATACTTATTGCTGTTACTTAAAATAAGACTGGTACGGTAAATGTTAAAGGTCAGGTTCGGTTGACAGTTGTATTTTATTGATTATTATCAATTACCTACTATTATAGTAATATAAGTTATTTGCAGGATTTAGGATGTTTGTGGCGGCGACATCCATATGCCCCACATATAACAAGGAGGAAATAATCACTCGCCCCCTCAAGAGATGGCGCTACCGGCGTTGCGATCAATAAGTAATGAAGCCTACATCGCGCAAGATATATTCGGAGGCAAACACTTAATATATTCAATGCCCAACCAACATCAGTCGGGCCGAGGCCCCCGAGCTACCATCACCCAGCTCGGAGGAAGATCTAGCCGTTTGGCCTTCCTAAAATGTTTATTATTTTTATTATATTTGTTTAACTAGTAGCCCGCCCTCGCTTCGCTTCGGTGTAGAGCTGTAGTGTAGACTATAATTTTTGTTCTCAGGCTTGACACAATGACATTCTTCTAATAGCTAATTACAATAGGCACGCGCCGCCAAGCCCCCCGCCCGGTAGCGTCGGAACCGCTATGTCCCTGCATTTTAAATCTGTAATATCTTCGAAAATATTCATTTAAATTATATGCGTTACAGGGCCAAATTGGTCTATATTAAATGCACAATGTATTTAAGGCACTTAATTGGATAAGGATGAATGTTATATTAATGAATATCGCTTCGTAAATAATCTATTATTCCTCGTTAAAAAGTATCGGATAAAAAATGGTTATTGTGGGTTATCCCTAAGAGATAGACACATACCATCGCGAACTTTTTTGTAGACCTTTTTAAGGTGTACAATACTGTAGTACATTATTTGATCTATCTCGTAGGGTTCAGCCAGCGTTTGCAATGTAAGCGTAAAAAAATGCGTTTATTTAAGACCTTACATTAAACACCCTAAAATTATCAGTCTTTCTCTACTATATGTAGTGATATGTGGCCTATTAGTGTGAGTAAGAGAGGGACAAAATACCGCCATCTGAGATTCACTTCTTAATATGGAGCGAATCAAAAATGGTATTACTAAAACAAACACCGATTAAGTAAATATTTAACATAATTTATTGGAGTGCTCTATTATTAAACACATCAGCTACTTTTACATAATACAAGCAATGTGAAACACAAATGTTCTAGGCGTTTGTTAGCAAGTACATTATAGTATTTTTGTTCTGGCTTTAATGCATTCGAATTCATATACAAACAAACTCATTATTTAAAAAAAACTCATCACAGATGCAAGTAGATCTTCACAAGAAAAAGTATTGTGAACCGCATAGGACCGGAAGTCAATATTCTTCTTAAAGTCGATTGAATTGTACCTGAAACAAAGAAAATACCAACTTATTCAAGCGCGGTGGTTAGCCCGTTCGGCTGCGATCTTTGAAGTTAAACAACTTTCGCAGCGGTCGGTCATTGGATGGGTGACCAAAAATCTTCTATCTCGAGTTCCTCCGTGCTTCGAAAGGCGCGTTAAGCTGTTGGTGCCGGCTGCATCTGCAGCCGTTAGCATCCGTTAATCCGCACTGGGCCTGCGTGGTGGGTCATGGCCCAATCTCCCTATTCCATCCATAGGGAAGTCCTGTGCCCCAGCAGTGGGGACATTAATAGGCTGATGATAATGATGTGTAAAGAGATAATTGGAACGCCTGTTTAGGAAAGTAACTTCCACCACCACTTTTTGGTGGTGCTTTTTTATTTTTTTATGGTCAAACAAGCGTATGGCCCGCCTGGTGGTAAGCGGCCAAAATAACCTATAGATAGATGCTTGCGTTACCAAAAATATCACTCGCACCGTTGCCTACCCTGACTAGGATTACCTACCATCCGTCCGGGTTTGTCCGGACATGTCCGGACTTTTCGCCCTTGTTCCGGACTTTTCGCCCTTTGTCCAGACTCTTCGCCCTTTGACCGGACTTTTCGCCCTTTGTCCGGACTTTTCGCCCTTTGTCCGGACTTTTCGGCCTTTGTCCGGATTTTTCGCCCTTTATCCGGACGTTGTCCGGCTTTTTCATTTGTCCGGTTCTTTGATTAGATGGGACATGAGCCAAGCTACTTATTAAGTTATATCAAATAAGTCAAATAATCTATATTAAGTTCTCATTAATTTAAAACAAAATATAAATTATCTTTAAAACTCAACAACGAGACCAAGTGGGTGATGTTTGCACTTTGTGTCTAAAATGTCCTGACTTTAATCGAAATGTCCGGCTTTTTTCCTAACCTAACCTAACCTAACCTAACCCTGACCCAATCCCGTGACTACCCCGTGGAGCTCTTACGAGTACTTAAGGATAGAAACACAGCACCACCGAAAGATAATGTTTTTATACTGTGGTCTTCTGAAAGGTGGAGGTTACTTCCCCAGACGGGCGCTCCAATTCAAGCGACAAATCCGCTATAAGGTTTTAGGGTTCCAAGGGGTAGAGGATTAGGTTCAGAACAGCAAGGTGGGGAAAGCCGAAGCGACAAGCACTCCTCCCACTTTAGCTGTCATCTCGACTGGACTCCACTTACACCTAACATCAGGTGGGATGGGGTAATGTTACACTTTCCCTTCCAAACCACTAAAACGATTAAGAGTCTAAAGAAGTAACCTCCTTTTAAATCTAACAGATAGTAATGTACGAAATTCGAATGTGGAAAATTACAATGTTGACACACATAATATGCACAGTAAATAATAATAAAAAAATCTTGACCTCGTGTGAATACGCGATAAGATATTCTAACAGTATTATATTATTATTAATAATTTGTTGTAGCACATTAACCTTCATTGAAAGCTTCATTGTTATTAGACAATGTTGACCTATAGCTATCTAAACGTTGTGAATATGAAGTGGTATGTGTATGATAAATCTATTTCTTTCATTTATAAAAGCAAACAAACAATATATTATAGAAGATTAATTCAAGTTTTGAATTTTTCGACCTGATCAACGATAAACCTTACGAATGAAATCAAATAGGCTTCTTCAGATTTTACAAAGGCTAACCAAATGATTCCTTACCCTAGTGCTACTGTATAATGCGATTCAACTAAGAATAGGATCGACTGGGCGCCATATTTTGACGTCATAGCTGTCAATTCAAACCAAATAGGTAGAGTGAGCAAAAAAAAATTGCTATTTAATAAAACTTATTTACTAAGATTAAGTGAGACAAAACATCAGATTTTTTAATAAAATTAATTTACTAAGGTTGAGAAAGAACACAACCGATTTTAACAGTACTTCTTTATTAAGACTGTGTGAAAAAAAACATTGATCAGAATCTAGCTCTTCAATTTCGCTCATCCATGCATTACCGCCGGAGAAGTTATGAATAATCATGCAGGTCACATACGAACATGAATCCTTTATGTAAACGAAAGTTTTAACTCGAGTTTCTGAACGCAACATAAAGTGACATTTGGTTGAAGATTTAGGTTATCAATCATTCAAAGCCACTACTCAATAAGTGAAAAAAAACAAATAATATTAATTATATACCTTTGTTATTGTTTGTTTAAAAATGTTTGGTTTTTATTCCAGAATCAGCTGAGTGCTAAAAAAGTGTTTCGAGATTTTTTTTCAAACCGTACTTTTCAAGCGACATTTGACAGATGGAGGCCATTGGCTTTCCTATTCTTATTTGAGTCGCATTATAGATCTTTATAATTAATTCAAGACAGTTCTTTCAACTGTTTCAGTCATTTAATTACAACGAACAAGAAAGTATCACTAGCGTTCACACACAACGAAAACGCTTTGACAACTGTTAGGACCACAAAGGGAAGCTCGATGACGTTTATTCTGCGATTGTGGATGTTAAGCAACTTTCTCAATGGCCTGGCATCAGAAGGGTGACCAAAAATTTAGTTTCTCGAGCTCCCTGCTGCCTCAGCGCTTCGAAAGACAAGTTAAGCCGTTGGTCCCGACTGCATTTTCAGACGTTAGCACCAACTAATCCACAATGTCATGGGTTATGACTCGTTCTCGCTAACCCATCCGTAAAGGCCGTGATCCAGCAACATTAATACATTGACAAAGAGAACAGCAAATAAGAACACATGGCTAATCAATTAGTTAAGTAAATTAATTGTACCAGACTTTTGTGAAAAGGAATACTAACGGACACATTCATATATTTCCAAAAATGGAATGTTTTATAGTATCGCATGAAAACTTTTTTTTATCATTTCCATGTTTTATATCGTGTTTTAAAAATTTAACAATTTTGTAAGGATGCTGGCCACCCTGTAAGTAATGTCATATTTTTAGCATATGGCAGCTTATACCGTCACTCCAATCACTACGGCAAATGTCAACCAGTCCAGCATGCATGATATTCGTGAAATCGTGGTGAATTTTTCATACCAATTTATGATTGATTCTTCTTGAAATAAAATACCCACATTATAGCCAATGATGTGACGTTAGATGAACAGAATAATGATCACTGCTTTAGTTACCTGTTCAATAGAATATATTTGATGTTTCCGCAACAAAAAGTTGATAAATAAACTTGCCATTTTCCAATCAATAATTGTATAGAAAAACGAGGATAAAATAAATTCTGGTTTTTTGTCAAACGATTAACGACTATGTGCTCTACATCTCATAAAATGGGAGTCTACCGGCCCTTGTGTACTACCCTCCATACAAATTGGAACAGTCTCCTTCGTTGCGTGTAAATGTGTCGATTAATTTTATTCATTTATGCTATCGCAAAGGAGTGCATCAATTTAAATCAAACAAAGTGGATTTAGCAACAAATTGCAGTAGATTCGCTCTCCATGCTGGATTGAAGCCTATTCTGGGGGTGAACTCATAACCCCAGGAAAAGAGCGGTTGAAGTAGCAAGCTGCTCTACCGTGAGTATGTGACGTCTCGCTCTAACAACAGAACCTTTTTTTCACTTCTCGATGGAAGTGAATAGTTGAATCGATTCATCCGTTTCCTTAGCAAAATCAAAGTCCGGATATGTTACTCTTAAGGTTCACTCGCCAATAGTTTGATTCACCTAGGTTCATGCAATGAAGGATTGAGAAATCTAATTCCTAAAGCAACAGAGTTTGGCCTACCGGTAAAACAAAATGCTAGACTGAATTAACTACTTTCAAATTACAGATTAAGTTTGACGCTCAAATTATGTGAGAGTGATCACAAAATGCGTACCTACCTAATTCTTCTAATGGCGTCGTGATTGGACATCACAGAAACGCACCGAATAGGAACGCCCGCTTGATACTGCCGAAGTAGTACCACCGACAGTTTTCAAGATTCTATTCCATAGGGGCAGTAATGGAGTCATTACTGCCCTAAATAAAGATCACGAATTACCCTTCACATTGCAGTGAAGTTAGCGAGCTTTGATTGAAATCCGTTGATCAGTTTTCTTAGCAAAATTAGTCTGTATCGTGAGGAGGTTCACACGAGAATTCTTAGTCCTATAAAGCGGTAGGCTACCCGTAAAATAAGCCGATACACTGAATTTCAAAAACTTTGAATTTTATTTATTTATTTTATATCGCTGGGTGAACCAACGGTTCCACAAACAAGAAAACAAAAACATTATTTACAAAAATAAACCAATTAAAGGTTTACGCTATTAGAAACTACCTAACATAACAAATCATTAATCTCACAGAGTAACTAAATAACTAATACTCATTCGTCATCTTAGTCGCTTGTTACATTGATTTTCAACTGCTTTTAAATTCCTACATAGTCGTTTTAAAGATGATGACATGACAATGCTCTACTGAATTTGTCTAAAATCACAGAAACGCACCGAATTCAAACGGCCTCTTGATACTGTCAAAGTTGTACCGCCACTATTCCGAGGCTATTCCTTTAGAGCAAGATCCTGCCCCCATGAAGAACACGACAATGGACAATTTGCGCTTCAAATTAAATTACATCAGTGAGCTTCGAAATCAAATCATCGGTCTCCTCATCTAAATCCAAGCCAGGATTCCTTACCCTGGTGTTCACATACATAAGATTTAAAAACTTAGCCCTAAAACGGCAGAGACTGAATTTCAACTACTTTGATATCTGTAGTTCAAATGTTGTGTATATGCATTTGAAATAACAATAATGAATCCAATTAAACGTCTGACCAACCATCACTGAAACTTCACACTGATTCACAATCAGACTACATTCATGACTGATCATAGTACTGTGATACTGTGTTGAACAGCAACTAAATTAGTAGAAATGTCTCCTAGACGCAAGCAGTATGTAATTCTTAGACACTCATATGGAAAAATGATCACAAATACTATGCGTACCTAAGTCCAAATATTCGCTAAGAGGTTGAGAAACCTTATTCCTAAAGCATCCTAGAGAGACTGAATTTCAAATATTTTCAAATTTGAATGCCCAATACAGGCAGTCCTCGACTTACGTCGTTTCGATTTACGTAGTTTCAAGTTACGTCAAACAATGTTTTGAGACTATTCCTCAAGCATACGTCAATTGTTTCGATTTCCGGTATAGGAGAATTCACTTGTCGCGAGCTCAAATGTCCGTGGGGCCGGTGCCTGTGGGGATGTCTCGACTTACGTCGTTTCAATTTACGTCGCGTATTACGAGAACCTAACATGCCGTAAGTACGAGGACTGCCTGTATACTACATGCTCAGATGGATATGAATGCGTACCTAATTCGTCTAATGGCGTCGTGGTCGGACATCACAGAAACGCACCGAATCCGAACGCTCGCTTGATGCTATCGAAGTAGTATCGCCGCCAGTTCTCACGAGTATGATCCACTTCTGAAGCCGGCACTAAATCTTGACGCAGAGTCACTAGTGTATGATCCTCCTGAATAACAAAAATAAATGCATTTGAAATTACAATAATGAAATTGATGAAATGTCTGACCAACTATGACTGAAACTTCACACCAATTCACAATCAGGCTACATTCATGACTGATCATAGTTCTGTGGTACTGTGTCGAACAGCAACTAAATTAGTAGAAATATCTCCTAGACGCAAGCAGTATGTAATTCTTAGACACTCATATGGAAAAATTATCACAAATATTGCACGGATACCGCATCTGAAGTGAAACATCTTTTCTTAAATAAGCTAACATTAGGCGTCGCATAAGGTATAGGGGGAATGGAGCGGCGCACGCATCACTCATATATATGTGTACATAGAGTGAAATTGAATGTTTTAATGAAACTTCGTGAGATTGTTGGGTTACGTGTATAGAGTATGCCTGATTTTTTTCGGATTTTATTGAAGATTATTTTTCATGTATTTATTTAAATTTGTGTATTTTTATGTCCTTTCCTCCTTTTGAGTAGTTATTCATTTTAAACAAACATACTTACATATCCAGTGAAAAACAACTAATAAATAAGCACTTCTAAAAAACGGAATATCAGTAAAATTCCACCTCGGGTCAACGACCGACCGCGTCCGCCAGCCGTTGAGTGAGTGACCTACACAGAGCTCAGCTGACTCCTTTGATTCCACACAATATAATAAAATCGTCTTAGATGACTTTATTGAAATTGAAATAATAAGCACAAATGTCATCTTCTCTTAAGCAGAGAAAAACTTTAAAAGTAAATAATAATTTTGTCACGATTGGAAATAAGCAAATGTTAAACAAAAAGAAATACTTATTGCAGTTCAATACTTGGGTCAGAATGAAATTTATAACCAGGTATTTAAAAGTACTTACGAGACCGATGTACCTATTCATTTTTTTCACTTTAACTTTCCGTATACACTTTGTAAACAGAATCAATCACCAAATCTACTTGCCTTGTGGCTCTGCTGAGTATTCCGTGACACTACAATAACAACACACCATATCCAACTTCTTATATTGAGGCCACAGAACAAGAACTAATCAAGGCATTATTTGCAAATCTTCTCTTGTCATAAATTTAAAAGATATGCCTGCTCTACACATAGACAGATGCATCTGCAGATGCCATCTGCGGATGCATCAGCCGACGTGTAGACGGGGTAGTTTGCTCGTCTCTGGTAGGTATTTAACGTCTGGTTTAAGATGCGTCTGCGATCAATCCGTTTGCTGTCGGTTTTTGTGGCACGCAACAAAGGGTTTCAGCGCGAGCGTCCGGCGTCCGTCCACACGTCTCACGCGACGCATCAGTAGTGTCGGAGTTGCTAATGAGAGTGCACGCATGCTTACAATTTATTTTTTCCGTTTGTTAGGCAGGTACTTTCGTTAGGCAAAATGGCTAATATGAGCACTGATGAAACATTTAAATTCCTTGAGTTGTATCAAGCAGAAAATTAGCCGACCTAGTCTCTATTCCACTTACTTTGTTCTGTTTCTGTGTATAGGCAGCATCCACCACCTTCTTTTTTTCCATTTCTTTTTAATAACTGTACTGCGATGCACACACAAGTAGTAGTTAAAAGTGCTAAATAAATAAATAGCTGCGGCAGTTACGGTCTCAATATCCATTTTTTGAAATATGTTGCGTGCGTGCGAGTTGTGTCTGTAGAGAATCAACACAGACTGATCCACCTACAGACGTGTGGTCGGTTCGTGGTGATCCATCTGCCGATGCATCTGACGACGTCCGCGGACGCATCTGTCTATGTGTAGAGGAGGCAAAACGCACGCGCGGTGGTAAGACTTGACACTGCGCTCGCTCACTGCGCTGTGCACCGCGCATAGGTAGGTATATAGGAAGGTATTCAACGGCGGGAGCGGTCATTGCTCCCGGCCGCTCTTCTTCTGTTTTCACGTTTTTTTAGTACCTAGTGCTTATTAGTTGTTTTTTACTTACTCTGTATGCGTGTTTAAAAAGAATAATTATTTAGTACCCAAAAGGAGGAAAGGAATTAAAATATAACAAAAAAAAACGAAATTTTATTTTAAATCATTTTTAAAAAATCGAAAAAATTCAGAGATACTCTATACACGTAACCCAACAATCCCACGCGAAGTTTCATTAAAACATTCAATTTCACCCTATATATATGTATTTATATTGTCGCGTGTGATGCTTGTGACGCTCGTAGCGTTTCAGCCTTTGCCGAGTTACCCTTCAACTATCATGCTCGTCGGGAAGAGCTGCGCACGCATCCCACACACACACACACATATATTTATATTTATATTATATATATGTGTGTGTGTGTGTGTGTGTGTGTGTGTGTGTGTGTGTGTGTGTGTGTGTGTGTGTGTGTGTGTGTGTGACGAGACGCATTTCCGTTTCATCTTTTCCATAGGATTTCTCCATTTTCGGAAAATAAGTTTCACTTCAAAAATATGAAGACCTGTTTTCCTGAGCATGTCCATGTATGAAACATCGAAGCGTTTTTGTCCGCACATAATAAAACTGTACAGGCTTATAACTTTTCACTCCTTATATAAAGGCAGAAACAGCTTGCTAAAAGACTCATCCATAACTATCAAAACTTTTATTGCAAAACTGCTGTTCCACTAACATTAAGTGGGGTAGTCAAAATTATAAGTATAAATAAATTTTTAGTACCCTCCCCTATCCATATAAATTTTCTTTAAATTTAAACATCTAGCAGGTAAATACTTAAAAATTAAAAATTTAACTATAATTACTATCTCTTCTTTCAAATGTTTAACTCTTGTTCTTACAAATGAATACCCATTTGACATTATGGGCTACCTACAATGCGCAGAGATGGCGCTCCCTTGCAGCCTAAGGCATTGTACTAATACAACGCGATAAGGCGAATGAGCGTTGCGATCATCGTACGATTCGACGATCAAACATATTGATCTAGAATAGGTATCCTAATAGGCGATCGCGCGATGCATTCGCGTGACTAAAATGTTTAAAAATCTATTCGCGCGAACTTAGTTCACGCGAACGCGCAATCAAACCTATTAATAATGAATAGGTGTCCTAACTGAACATCGCGCGATGATCGCGTCGCGTCGATAGGAAGCGGGGAGAGGGGCAGGGCTAACCCGTTCCGTATTCGCGTTCTATTAGGACACCCAGTTCGCAATCACGCGATGGTCGCATCGTTTAATCGCGCGATGATCGCGTTATCGCGTTGTATTAGGACAATGCCTAAAGGTGCTGTCCGACGGCGTGTGTTGTCGCGGCCGTTGTGTCCGCTCCGCGCAGGGTTGCCAAACATATGAGAACTCGTTAGAGTAGAGGCACGGACGTTTGAGATTTAGCAGTAGAGACTGCCATGATATGAGTTAAATAGAAATCTAATACATTTTGATATGAGATTTGAACAATGTTGACTGTTTGTATACATAAACCAAAAATATTATCAATAAGTACAGCTTCATTATGCCATCACAAAGTGTATGAGACTTCTATTTACCTTGTATCATGTAAAGAGACTGTTAAGTCTCAAACATTACAGTTCACATACGTTTAGCAATGCTACCAGAGAAACTTCGACAAGAGCAATAAGGGACTAATAATGGTCAGTACAATCGCCCAGATAGCGAAGGGTGTGGCTCCCAGTCACAAGTCTGCTGCCTGGTCGGAATGGAATTTTTTCTAGTAAAATTTTCTTTAGATATAACATCTAGCAGTCAATTGCTTAAAAAAATATATCAAGCTTAAAACTATTTTTTTTTATTATATATTTCCGTCATTAGAAGACAAAGGACATAAAACTCACTTTTTCCTCAATGTTGAATGTAACTTCAGAGAAATGCTGGTCAGGCCACTGCTTATACCGCCAGTATTGTACTATTTTCTTCCCTGGTATCAGTTCCCTAAACTCTCCCGATATATTGCCACCAAACAAGACAAACTTGCCACCTTTCTCCGCTTCCATTTTTACATGTCCCTGTGAAATTTCAAAAATTCATGTTTTATTTATTTAAGAAAGAAAGGTTCTATTGCTTTATGACTCCTCTGTTTTTGATAGGTTTTCTTTGGTAATATCAAAAAACTTATTCTATTTCAATGCGATCGGGTTCTTGGCTTTAGTTACTCATTCAAAAATCAATTCACATAACAAAATTCATAGATGAAATTTAAAAAAATAAAATATTTTTATAGTAATTTACACTGCTTGGTCTTGATATAAATTGCATTATTTAAAACCAACTAGTAATAGTTTGTAAGACATACTGCTACTTCTTCTGGTCTAAATAAAGGTTATTATTACATTAACTGAAAGCAAAAACACACCTGCGTGAAAGCGGTGACCATTTCTACTCTCGTCATAGCATCATAGAACTCTTTAGCTCTGCATTGGAACTTTTCCTGCAACTCAATGGATTTAGTATCTAATTTCAAACCAACTGGCTGTTTACTCTTTTGAGAGACAACTGGTTCCATGTTGACTTTTTTATTAAAACCACTAGTTATAGTTGAAACATTGTCCGGTTTCACTAACGCTTCGCCCTTTTTGGGTAATATGAGGCCTTTTGAGTATTCCTCTTTAAGACTCCTGAGGTATTCTGTAAGCTGCTTGCGGATTTCAGTGCGACCAACATTGTGCATGAACGCTTTAACTCTTTGGGCTTCATCTCCACTACCTTTGATTGTAACTGTTATCTGTAATGAGAAAATTAGAATGTCAACAAAATTGTTTATTAAATCCATCAAAACTTTCTTTTCTTATGTCCTATCATACTAGATTTTCAGTTTCTGTGTTAAGGATTTTATCAAATCTTTCAAATTATTTGATAAATAACCATGCACAACAACCATGTTCTTATGATAATATAGTTGATTTCAACTATAGAACATGCCAGAAAACCTCGCTTATCTATTTATTGTTGCCACATATTTTGTTTTATCACAGTGTTCCAGTCTGATGTTGACCACAAATCACATATTTATAAGTAAATTTAGAATTGCAAAATTTGCTAAATGTTCTTGAAATAATACAACATGGGATTAAGCACCTTTTTTAAATAAATACATATGATAAATTAATCACACTAGTAGTTCACATATCATTAACATTTTTTCATTGTTTCCTTGGTGCAGTGATACAAGACTTGTTGCTGTTTGATATTTGTACATTTAATGGAATTATTGATATAGGATTCCTATTCAAAGCTTATGTATTTTACATGATATTTAGCATTTAAATACTCACATCAACTTCACTGACGTCATTTTCTTCTGATAGATTTGGTATCTGCACCTCTCCTTTGATTTTGTCTGCACAACCAGCCAGTAAACCTTCCCACTTCAATTTGATGTCCCATTCATAGAAAAATATGAGTTTTCCTTTTCTATTGTTAGCTGAAGCATCCCCGTCGATCTTCTCCACCTCAGTTATCTTACAGTCGATACCATTTTGAGCTATTTGTAAATTGGTCAGCAGTTCCTTCAGGCGATCCTTGGACCACGGGCCGGCGTTTTTCTCCGTCCAATGCCAGTTATTTACATTTGTGGCATCCGGCCTTTCTTCTACGATCCACCGAGGATCACCTTCTCCCCATTTAGCCATGTTTCAAATCACGACCACGATGAAATGGGCAAGTGTGACACAATCAGTCAAGTAACCTTGATTTTCAGCACTTCACCACGAATTATTGTATTAAAACACACAGCTTCTGTAATACCAAAGTACAGTTCACATAAACTGCACGTAAAGATTAAACTTTCCACAAATCTATAAAATTTTCGAGAAACGTCGCGCAACCAACCACCACCATCAATCAAATTGAGCAAGCGAGCATGCATTTACGAGTGACAGTTGTAGGGTTACTACTTGTCTTACAGAATTTCCCCATCACTAGCATAATAATATGTTATCATGTTTCCTCTTTTTTTAAACTTGTGTGAAAAGATGTGATGTGACATGACCATTGCTAAAAAAGCATCCTTATGTACGCCCATTTTTCGAGTTTTATTTGTAAAATACACAGTGCAATGCAATGCACAGAGACAAAAATAAATATACCTACAACCTAATTGAAGTTAATCCAACATTATGTAAAATACTGTTATGCTACCACTTAACATGGCCATTTTGACGTGACAACGTCTTAAATTAGGTTGCGGCTGGGAGTCACTTATGAAAAAGTGTAACGCTCGGTAACGTTACGATGAGTCTCTCGTGTTAAGTTTAAGTTTACATGTACAATGTTTTAGTAAACAAAATATATTTCTATAGTTAAAATTTGTGCAATTCTTATTTTCATTCAATTCCTTGTTCCTATTGTGCAATTTAATTATATTCATATCAATAAATATTCTACCGAGAAAAAGACGTTGTCACGTAAAATCTTCGCCGCCCGTAAAACCGACTTTACAGGCAACCATTTTTTTTTTATTTGCCATTTGTATTTTTGATAGCAGTGTACCCTTATACTCTACAGGCCCTGAAAAGTAATACTGGCAAATTTGCTAATATCGAAAACGAAAGTAGGTAATGTAAAATTCCAGCCAGAAAAAGTTAATAAATTTTAATTGATAAATTAATACTGATGTTATCTCAAACTTAGATGTGAAACCCTTGTCTTACGGGAAAGTTGTTAAAGCTGGCAACACTTTGGTAATTTCTGTAAGTTTCTAGAAAACAGTGCTGCCAACAGACATCAAATGAACATCCGTATGTCAAAAAGTATTCCGTTTCACGTAATCTCAGTTTTCTATCTTAAAGAGCTTCCACACGATACAATTTTACGTCCAATTTGATTAGATTGACAATCGAATTGTGTTGTGTGGACGGAAATATGAAATTGAAGGTCATTGGATGGTCGGTATCGCCCGATTCTTGATTGCCCAATCAAATTGGGTGGTGTGGACGCTAACTGGCCAATTTTTTAACGTAGTCACTGTGCAAGCGGCGTTCAGAGCGGGTGTGTGCGTTGACTTGTCTTTTGAGAAGAAGATGGAGCAACATGACGACAATATTATGTCTATTCGATCTGAACGGGAAGTAATGGAGGAGATTTTAGATATATGTTAAAACTTGGCATGCCTTTGGGATGTGTCTAACCCATTATATAAAAATAAACAAGCAAGGCATAATTCCTTAGAGATTTTGCGGAATAAGTGGAAAATATTGATAAAAATATTACTGTTATAATTTTTATTATTTTTAAAGCATGTAACTGCTTGATGTTTAAATCTAAAGAAAATATAACAAGAAAAAATTCCACGCGGACCAGGCAGTTATTTGTTATTGAAAATAAAAAATCATTTAATTAATATCAAATTTCTAGTAAACCTTTCTTTAGATTTAAACATCTAGCAGTTAAATGCTTAAAAATAAATAAAATCATAATCATTTAATTAAATTTATATTCTACTCAATAATATGCACGCATGCTGGTGTAAAAAAGAAATAATATTATATATATTTTTTTATAATTTTTGTTTTTTAAGCATTTAATTGCTTGATGTTTAAATCTAATGAAAATATAACTAGAAAAAAATCCACGCGGACCAGGCAGCAGACGGGACTCGAACCCGCACCCTTCGCAATCTGGGCGAATGCACTGACCAATTATGCTACCGCGGCCCTCACGGACCGCGTCGAAATTCTTCCAGCCATTCTTAAGTTGCAAGGCAGCGCCATCTCTTCGCATTATAGGTAACCCACAATGTCAAATGAATACTTTTACAAGTATTAAACATTTGAAAAAAGAAATAGCAATTATAGTTATAATTTTTATTATTTTTAAAGCATGTAACTGCTTGATATTTAAATCTAAAGAAAATATAACTCAGTTATATTTTAAAGGGTTTTCAAAGGGTGCGGGTTCGAGTCCCGTCTGCTGCCTGGTCCGCGTGGAATTTTTTCTAGTTATATTTTCTTTAAAAATATTACTCTTTAAGTATAACTATATTTAAGTTTATTAATTGAGTCACTTAAATATAATATAACTACATTTGAGTGACTCAATTGCTTTCTTTTTAATAACCATCGTTTTGTCCACAGTCTTCTTTTTCTTTTTTTCTCATCTACATTTGTAGTTAGAGCCAAGATTAATCCAATTTTTTGCTTTTTGGTAAGAGGCATCCTAATACAAACAAGTCCGTTCAGCAGAGGCAACAAATAAAACTGAAATTGGCGATCTAGTTGTGTATGTGTAGACGGACGACCAGATTGTACCCAATTCAATTGGCAATCAGATTGGCAATCAAATTGTGTCGTGTGGAAGGGGTATAACATTTACAAGTTTACAAGCAACATCAAGCAGTTACATGCTTGATGTTGCATCGCCCGGATTGCGAAGGGTGCGGGTTGGAGTCCCGTCTGCTGCTTGGTCCGCGTGGAATTTTTTCTAGTTATATTTTCTTTAGATTTAATCATCAAGCAGTTACATGCTTTAAAAATAATAAAAATTATAACAGTAATATTTTTATCAATATTTTTCCACTTATTTCGCAAAATCTCTAAGGAATTATGCCTTGCTTGTTTATTTTTATATAATGGGTTAGACACATCCCAAAGGCATGCCAAGTTTTAACATATATCTAAAATCTCCTCCATTACTTCCCGTTCAGATCGAATAGACATAATATTGTCGTCATGTTGCTCCATCTTCTTCTCAAAAGACAAGTCAACGCACACACCCGCTCTGAACGCCGCGCCGCTTGCACAGTGACTACGTTAAAAAATTGGCCAGTTAGCGTCCACACCACCCAATTTGATTGGGCAATCAAGAATCGGGCGATACCGACCATCCAATGACCTTCAATTTCATATTTCCGTCCACACAACACAATTCGATTGTCAATCTAATCATATTGGACGTAAAATTGTATCGTGTGGAAGTCATTTTACTGTGATGATAATATTGTTGCTAGCGATCCAGTTTTACTTATAATATTTATGTACAGTCTAAAGACGATATATTTACTTTCTTTTTTCCAAATCTCTAAAATATCTAGTACTAAACTAAGGTTGTGCTAGATTTGCGATACTGAATTTTGTGATTATATAAATTCATTTTGAAAAACACCATTGCATAGGCTATAAAATTAGCTTTCTATTGATATAAAAATCAAATAGGCTTCTCATACAAAAAAACGTAAAAATACGTTCAAAAATGCTAGAGAATAAATGCCGGTTAATGAAATGCGATCATCCGATGCTCGAGGTCAGTGCGTTGCCATGACTACGCGCCGAGCGACGCGTACAGCGTGTTGCATTTTTGCAAAGTAGAAGTAATAATAGTGTCGTAATAATAAATCATTATTATTTTATTATAAGAACCTAATCGATTTATTATAAAGGTGTTTTGTTATTATTTACTTGTATAAAACTCTTGTAAACAAATGTCATAATAAAAGATATTTATATGAACTGTCGTTTTCATGCTATATTCAGGTCAATACTTACCTAAACTTACCCAACGATAATGTTCGCCACTACTGCATTGTTCTCTAAATAATATATGACCATGGTAACTAGTGTTTTCGATCAATTCTATCAATACTATCATATCGATTAGTCGTCGAGTCGATCGTCGGGGATAGTGCAAATCCGCGAATCTTCCACATAAAGTCCGCGCATCCAGACTTTTTTAGGTTTTCAAGGTTGTACGTTATACACTTACGTATTTCAAGAGCTTTGCCTGCGTAATTTAAAATTTTGAGATACACGAAATTATCCAATACGCGGATTTTTACTATCCCAACGATATATAGATTAGTATGAAATGTTGTCCTTATAAACAGTTACATATATTATGAAGTAATACGAGTAAATGGTCAGAGCACTGGCTTGACTAGAATAAATAAACTGCGGGTCAAGTTCTGCATGAATCGGAAGGTTTGTATAATTTTTCGATAAAAAGTAGATTTACTTTTCCCGAGGTCAACTACATTTCTGAAAATTTCATTGAAATCGGTTCAGTGATCATACTAATATTATAATTATAATATAAAAACGAATGTATGTCAGTTTGTTTGTTAATCTGTTTTTCCTTTTTCACACAATAACTAATGAACGGATTTGGATGAAATTTGGTATATAGGGATTTTAAGTAGAGACTTACTAATATAGGCTACTTTTTATCCCGATATTTCCACGAGAACGGGTACCACGCGGGTAAAACTGTGAGTGGCCGCTAGTCTAAAAAAAAAACAATTGACTCCACGTAATAAATGAATATTTTATTTCTCACAATCATAATTTAACCAGAAGTAAAAGAGACGTTTACATTACGATATAAGATTTATCAGTGTCGACGCGAGAACTACACTAAGTGGTGATGCAGGCTTCCATACTTTTTGTGATAATATACTGATCAGAGTCATACTGTTAAGCTCACACGCTCTTGCGTGTGACGGAAGATCGGAGTTGCTGGTGCGTAAAGCTGCCACGTAGTTGAGTTGCCGATTGTGTCTTGACGAAGTATGACATCAGGCTTGCACGTCATGTGTGTGGCGTTCAATCTTTACGCTGGTTCTGTATTTCTTCAATATCGCGTGGTCGCGCAGTATTATTTATGTAGCAATCGGAGCGTAGCTCACGCCACACATCCATCA